ATCTGTCTGTAAATTGGATTAAATGAACATAATGTAGAGACTAAGCTTTATAACGAGGTATAACATGCCCACGTGAAATATCAGCAAACACCAGCCGATAGCCTATATGCTTCCAGGTGCCCATATTGGCCGATAATATCGGTCGGGCTCTAATTTAAATGTGAATTTTTCAGTTTATTTTAGTTAAATATGACTATGATAATAGATTTAACATAAAAGTTGATTAAAAATAAGAAGAATATATCATAATTGGATTGCTTGTATCAAACAAAGTAGAAAAATTGCATTATACAACAATTTAAGACTAAATGTGGAGATATAACCTTTTCTTGTTTCGGCCGGGGCCATTTTGGATTTTATGCATACCGGCCACTAGGGGGGCACCCCAACTTGTATCCATGGATTTTTGAAAACCTTAGGCCCATACCTAACACCCTGCCAAAACTCAAAAACTTTTCCAGAAATGCACAATTTTCATGAATTCCCCCCTGGCTACAAGTGCTCTCCTCTCCTTAGTTGCCCGAATGTTCAAGTGAAAATACAGTGACATAAGTCTATTCCCCCATCATTAACATTATTTGGTTGAAAAAAGAAGTGACGAGTGTTCTGCTCATGAATTTTTATTTTTTTTCATTTCCATGGAAGGGACAGACAAGTCTAATGTCTAATGCATTAATCCCATGTATTCTTTACCCATTATGCAGTGATGAAGAGAGTGACAAGGAGTTAATCTTAAACAACAGACTTGAACCAAACTAACTCTACAGTATCCTGGAAGTGGACCAGGATATGTTGTAGTTCATAAATGAGCAATTGGCAGATTCACTAAGCCGGTGTGAAATTACAAGTGCAAACTGAAAAAGTGCATGTGCCATTTGTGGGCGTGTTGCACAGGATTTTCCACTAGAAACTGTGCTTCTTTTAAAACCACAATTCTAATGTGTAAAAACTAAATGGGAGTTAAGCATCTGAGCAAAAGCACTGTGCTGTTGGTGCTTTGTGTGCACATGAGTAGACGTACACAATGTGAGGACTTTGACATATACTCACTGCAATACCTATGTCCATATTTTAATATTTTCTTTTGCAATTAAAAATAGTTGCAAAATGTGCTTTTTTTAAAAATTCATCATCTTTACACCAGGGTCAATGTAGATACAAAGTATTCACTCACCCATCCAAATAATCGAAATCAGGTTCCAATCACTTCCATGGCCACAGGTGTATAAATTCAAACACCATAGCATGCAGACTGTTTCTACAAACATTTGTGAAAGAATGCGTCGCTTTCAGGAGCTCGGTGAATTCCAGCGTGGTACTGTGATAGGATGCCACCTGTGCAACAAGTCCAGTCGTGAAATTTCCTCGCTCCTAAATATTCTACAGTCAGCAATCAGTGGTATTATAACAAATTGGAAGCGATTGGGAATGACAGCAACTCAGCCACTAAGTGGTAGACCACGTAAGCTGACCGGGTGGGTTCAACGGATAATGAAGAACATAGTGCACAGAGGTCAAGAACTTTCTGCAGAGTCAATCGCTATAGACCTCGAAACTTCACGTGGCCCTCAGATCAGTCCAAGAACAGTGTGTAGAGAGCTTCATGGAATGGGTTTCCATTGCCGAGCAGCTGCATCCAAGCCATATATTACTATGTGCAATGCAAAGGGTCCGATGCAGTGATGTAAAGCCCGGCACCATTGGACTCTAGAATAGTGGAAACACGTTCTCTGGAGTAACGAATCGTACTTCTCCATCTGGCCATCAGATGGTCAAGTCTGAGTTTAGTGGTTGCCAGGAGAATGGTACTTGTCTGACTGCATTGTGCCAAATGTAAAGTTTGGAGGAGGGGGATTATGGCATGGGGTTGTTTTTCAGGAGCTGGGCTTGGCCCCTTAGTTCCAGTGAAAGGAACTCTGAATGCTTCAGCACACTAAGAGATTTTGGACCATTCCATGCTCCCAACTTTGAGGGAGCAGTTTGGAGATGGCCTCTCTTCCAACATGACTGTGCACCAGTGCACAAAGCAAGGTCCATAAAAACATGGATGAGAGAGTTTGGTGTGGATGAACTTGACTGGCCTGCAGAGTCCTGACCTAAACTCAGAACAGGGGTGTCCAACCTTTTTCCTCTGGTGAGCTACTTTTACAAAACAAAATGCCAGAGAGCTACTAGTTTTTGCGGTCACAAGAAATTGAGTACAGTCGTCCCTTGCTATAACGGGGTTCGCCTTCTGTGGTCTAGCTGTTTGGCAGATTTTTTTTGTGCAATTTTGCATGCTTTTTTTACATCGTATGAACGTGTATTGCGTATTACGGGCGGCTAGTAATTACACATGGGTGGGTCAGGACTAAACCAGGTCTACACCAGGACTAATCTTGGACTTAAAAGAGAGAACCACGAGCAGGGTGTCCACAAAGCGCGATCGGGCAATTGCCGCGCTGACCTTCGCGAATTGCAGAGCTCTCCATCGGTCCTTTCTCCTGTGGTCACCTCCAAGCCCGTCCCAACAGTAAGTCCTCTTTCAGTTCTGGTTTAGTCCTGGTTTACTCCTGTTTTAGCCCTAGTTCAGTCCTGGTTTAGTCCTCCTTGTCAGTCCTGGAATCAGTCCTAGGTTAGTCCTCGGTTAGTCCTGGTTTAGTCTTGGTTTAGTCCGTGGCATAGGCAGCGCCAATGTTTGATATAATCTCGGGTTAACGGGCGAGTGCGGTGCTGTACTGCAGGGGTGCGGTGCTACAGGTTGGAGACCCATGCAATAGAACGCCTTTGGGATAAATTAGAGCAGAAACTGAGAGCCAGGCCTTCTCGTCCAACATCAGTGTGCATGCTCTCACAAATGCACTTCAGGAATAGTGGTCAAAAATTCCCATAAACACACTCCTAAACGTTGTGGACAACCTTCCTAGAAGAGTTGAAGCTGTTATAGCTGCAAAGGGTGGACCAACGTCAAATTAAACCCTATGGATTAAGAATGGGATGTCACTTAAATTCATGTGCAAGTCAGTGTATATGCCCATAATCACAGAAGCCTCGTACTGGCACTAAAATACTGTATTTGAAATGTGATATATTATGTATACCTGAAAGTCAGTTCCTAAAACTGTGGGTGAGGGTCTGAAGGGGGGGTCTGTTCTTTAACAGACAGCATTACATAATATTACACTGTAATAGGCTAAGGTATTACAATTTTGCCCATTTGAGTTGAAGACAGAGAGGGAATCCCTTAAAATCCTTAAATTTCACATAACACATTCCATCTAACACAAAGTGCTGTAGATTAGTGCATGTCTGAAGCTATAGGCCTTATGTGTTAAAAGTAAATGAAGACCTATGAATACATTACTGTGAGTGTTGTGGCGCTACAATATAGAAATGCTGTTTGCAGCTGTTCTTTGAAAAGTGCAAGAACCTCAGCTCTAAAACCAAATTTTGTGAGCAGCGAAAGCCTAACAACCTTTTGTCACAATGGCCCTTCTATAGGATGACAGCAGCCAGAACTATAGATGTTCTGTCACATTTTCATCAATTCTATAGAAATAATTTGTAAAAAAAAATAAAATAAAAAATCATTTGTTGATTCCAAGGCTGTCATCATAAACAATCACATTAGTTCTTGTTTCTAGAATTATGATAAAGATGCTGATATGGGTCTGGCAACCTACTCCACTATAGGCATGTTGTCACTATGTATGATCTCTTAGAACTCTGAGTTGATACAAGATACAATTTTTTAAAAAGACCAAAGATAGTCACAGTCTTTCATTTGGTATACATTCACAGTCCAAAGTTTGGACACAGATTTTCATTAAGGTTTCATCTTTTTTTTTTCCGAATTATTTAACTGTAGATTCTCTCTGAAGACATCAAAGCTATAGACTGTGGCATGAAATTAGCTTCTTTAATACGTCTTCAATCAATCCTGGATTCTATCAATCCATTTAATCATTGTGGCCATGTATGTTGATATCTTATATATAGATATATTTTTAAAAGTTAATTTGACCTTAAATTGAGTATTATTTTGTTTTAACAGGCAAGTAGATCTGGTTGTCCGGCAGAGTAAAAAATGGCAACCATTTGCCCGTTGGGCAAGTACTTGTAAATGCTTAATGTCAAGCCCTGAACTGACTCAAGGAAAATTAACAGTGGGAACACTAAACTGACCTGGGATGTAGAGTGGACAGATATGGCCAATTCCTTTTAAGTCTGTGTACAAATCTACGCTTTTTACTAAATGTATTCTTTTCTTACTAACATCTTTTAAAGCCTAACCAGGAACGTGGGCTGCAAGAGGACATCGGTTACCTATTTGATGAGGTTTAATGGGACTATTCCTGTCAAATAAACAAATAAAAATAAAATAAAATAGTAAAGACTCCCATTGGACGAGACCACAGGTCACCCATTACGATCCTGACCTTCCCCCTGCTCATAAAGCAGGCTGTTTTGTAGTCCAAAAGGATAACTGTGGCTCAGAAAAAGAGTAAGAGACCACCAGATCTGAACATGCAACACTTGGCTGAAGAGGTGGAGAGGCCCACTGCAGAATCCAATGTTTTAAAATTCTCCACCAAAACAAGTCAGGGTTTAATTTGTCTAACACAAAACAGATAAATAGAGAACAGAGACTAAAAACTAATTATGTTTTGCAACTGCAATTTTCTATGAGACAGTTTCTAAGAACACAACCATGTCTTGTGGTACATAAAGCAGGGAGGGTATGTTATATTGGTATTAATGTGTAGTTTGCCTCTATTTGTAAAATATTTGAATATGTATATATGTAAAGTCCAACTCAGCACATGTTAAAAAAACACTGAAGATGCAAAATGACATTTTCTGCAATGCATGTCACATAATTTGATCAAGTATATAGGTTAAGCACTTTTTTATTTATATAGATTATTTCTTAATTATCAATATTATATCGCCTAGTTCTGTCAGTGGATTTGCTGAAGGAGCCTGAGGTTTCCTGGCCAGGCACTGTGTTTGTCTCTCACCTGTCGACTTGAATGCAGTGGAATATGGAGCAGCCGTTCTGCTGTCTGGCGCAGAAAATGTGGATCCAGCACTCGAATTTTACTTGGGTCTCCCAACCAGATCTGAGGAGGGGGCTTCCAAAAACCTCTCCGGACCTGAAAAAGAAATAAAGATAAACAACACAAAAACAGAAGGAAAATACAGATGCTATTTAACATGACTCCCTCATGTCTGAGGCTAAGTAAATCCTTACACAAATTAGCAAGTAATGACCCAGCAACTATTAGAGGTAGGAGGCTGGAGATGCTGCAGGCTACACAGTATTTAGTGGAAAGTTTACCTTGAATATACTGAATGAGTACATCTGTGATGTGGATGGTTGGCTCTGTGTGTAAATGGCCTGATCTTAGTTAATGTTTAGAGAGAGGCTGCACATGTACCCTCTTCTCATTGTAGAGGATCTCTTTAAGCCAGCGCAGGTCCTGCAGTTTGAAAGGCACCAGCACCATGAGAGTCCCAGGCTCATTGTGCAGAGTGGGGTTGGAGGAGGCCGACTCTGGGTAGAATAGCCTCATAGAGGTTTTATTGCCCACGTCCTCCTCATAGCCTCTGACAGGGGCATCATTTAACCTGGATGAACACATGCAAAATGTTAAGGATCAACTGTACAGTAAACAGTGTACAATTGTCATGCACAATTTCAGTAAACATGTAATGGGATAAAGATACAACACACTGCTTAATGTAAAAAGCTACAAGACTTGGTTTTGCATGGTATTTGTTGTATTTTTTTTGTAATGCCTCTTGGTTTACAATTCAAATATGCCCAAATCTTTCAACCAGTGCTAACCCTGTAAGCAAAACAAAGGCAGTGAAAGACAAGCTAAGATCTTTGTTGTTTTAATGTTTAGTCAGGTCTTTATGAGCGTGTTTAAGCAGGATCTAGCTTTTGTATGACAGAACCAGGATCATGACATGAACAGTCAGGAATGCTGTGCATTTTAAACCTTTTTCTACTTGGCCGGCAAATGATTAGCTTCTGTTGGAGGGGGACAGTTTTAAAGGGGGCTGATGGGGAGAAAAATGCATTGTGGTAAGGCCAAAGCCCTATGTTTGAAAGCTGCTTATAAATCCTAGTTCATTTAGTTCATTCTTTAGCTATATAAAGTGAGATCAGTGGCGTTTAGTCACTAAATTACTATACTTCAATTGGTTTACAGTGGTCCTGAAAGTAACAGGATGAGAAGATAAAGGTTTTATTTTATTCACATTTTGTTCAGGAATTCTTGTTGGTTGTTTTTAATTCTTTTTGGTTGCTTTGATTACGATGTCTGAATTTTAGATGGAGGACGTGCAGGGGCCTATAAGCCTATATACCTAAATGAAAATTCACAAATGTGGAAAATCATTGTGACTGAATTATGTTAAAACATTTTACAACATTCAGGCCCAGAAATTAAAGAGATATTAAAAATCAAGTCAGAACAGCTGCATTTAAAAGAGAAGCTCAAACCCTAACCTCAAATACAGGTGAACCGAAAATCTTTGTTTTTAATTTTGAAAGGTCCATATTAGGCTATTTTCTGGTCTCTGTCATGTTTTTTCCTCAACAAAAACATACATGGAGTTCTTTTTTGTTTCATACATTCATATTTAAACACACAAACCCTGTATATTTAGGCTGAGTACTCTCAAATGTAAAATATTCTGTTCTACCTTGTGATGTCATGTGGAAATACAAGAAATGCTTCTTTATGTTTTTAAGCTACATACACATTCATTAGAACCATTTGGATAATTTCAGCCCTAGAATTGCCAGTTTCTATTGAACAAAAAGTAAAAATCAGCTGGTAACTGTAAAATTATAGCTTCATCACATCACACAAAGTGGAACAGAGCATTAGGAGTTTTGGAAATGCAGACAGACAAATAATAAAGGATTACCCAAACATGTGTGAATGAAACAAATCACAACTCCAGTTAAGATTTTTGAGGAGGTAACAGCATTCTCATAAAAGTTTACATGAGTCAATTTTGCATAATATAAGACACTTAATAAATAACCAACAGTTTACATTAAGTGAAATGAAAGTAACATTCTTACCGAAATACTATGTCGTATTTGTTGATGATACTTCCTAGAGAAGTGTTTTTTATAGAAAAGCTGTTTCCTATTACCACGCAGGTTGGACATTCAAGGCTAAAAGAGAATTATATGAGGGTGTTAAGTTTCCTGTAATTACAAAACACAGTATAAAATATAGCTCATATCCACATTTAGATTGCCTTCATACATTTATAATGACCACATAAAAAAAATGGACTACACAGGAACTTAACCTGGAATTAAACTAATATAATACGATTTTCATACATAAAATACTTTTTTCCTCCAGTCGTCAGTCGTTTCAGCACATTTTTTTAAACTTGGTTTAGTTTGATCATTTGATTCAATCTGGACGGGGCACAGGTGTTCACATCATTTGGAACATTTCTAATCTGTTCTCAGGATCTTTCTCAGAGCACTTGACACAGCTTTCACAAACATAAATGATCAGTGAATTCACCTAGTTTTTTTTTTTTTTTTTTTTTTTAAACTACATGCCCATAGATGTTGGAATAATAAACTATATATACACCGGTATATAAAAAAAAAAAAAGTGTGAACCACAAATGCACACTGCCCTAACGCAGTCTCTGTGGTCACTGAGTGCACTGAGAGCACATAACCACATGAGTAAAATGTGAGAGTTTTGATGATAAAACTGGCTTTTGGAGGACAACTGACCAGTTTTGAATGAAACAATGCATTTTGCTAAGATTAAATTTGGTTTAGGAAAACTGTGGCTCTGTTTATGATTTTGCATGGTACTTTCTTTACCTTAGCATTAGCATATTATATTTCTTCTGATAAGGTACAAAATCATACTAAAACTGTTCAGGAAAGTTCAGATGCTGTCCTGAGTTTCTGCTGTATCAATTCAATATTCAATAGTTTCAATATTAGTTTTAGTATTGATTAGTGTCTCATTTTTGATACTAATCCTAACCCTCACTTTTAGAATTAGAAAAGGTCCAAGTCAGCATCAGGACTTTAAGTGTAAGACAACCCTTAGTTCATTCACATTACACTATAAAATTTACACATAGTGCCTTGTTCACACTTACTTTTCAACCTCGTTTGACTCCTTGAACCTGTCTATAGCAGCGAGAACTTTCGTGAGCATCTGTTCTTCTGAAATCAGAAGGTTTGAATTACAGCATTGTCCCACTAGAATGTTATCAAATGGTACAGATACAAACTATTGGCAGGACGATAACAGGTAAAGCAAACATACCACTGCCTTTAATGCCATATGGTAGTGCTAATCTTGACACATGCTCTTTCCAGAAGAAGTGCTTCAGTTTCAGAAATAGCTGTGTCTGTCTGCTGATGCTGCAAGAAAAATAACATTAAAAAACAAGCCAGTACATTTCAGCACAGACTTCATGAGAAGGGCTAGAACATGAGGAGGAAAGACTGACTGGGCTTTTAGCTAATGCACAATAGACAATACAAGCCATGATGCCAACAAATGCGGTTAATCATCTCGGTTTAGGCCTGAACATTCCCAAATGTTCACTCAGCTCCTGGCAGGTAAACTACAGACAAATACTGCAAAGCATTTTTAACGCTGCTCAGCTCAAGGATGATTTTCTTAGTGGCATCAGGTTAAAATGCTCAGGTCATGTTGGCACAAGCTTATTCATTTTCAAGTCTTAACTCTCATATCAAAACTACAAAACACTTTCTCTGCACATGCTAAGGTCGGTGTATAAATACTGCACGCTCTTACCACCACTCTTACTGAAGTCTACGGACCGAAGACACAAAAGACTAAACTGAACACACAGGAATCACAAAATTAATAGATTTTATAAACAGGCATAGAAGCACTAGAAATCACAGCGTGCAGTACGATACAATACTTCTGTAGGAAAAACCTGTGTGAACCAGATTTTCATTCAGAAACTGTGAGCTCAGTTACAGTGCACACAGTTTAGATACAATTGTTACAGTTTTTTTAATCATTCAAAGCACAGATGTTCAAATTGTGCTTTTTTGTTTCTTAAATGAATGTGTAATATATTTTACATTTACTTACAGCATTTTACTCTCTCTCAAACCAACAAAAAACAGATACCAGTAATATTGGTCCTACAGGTATCTGACTCCCTCACACTACACATCAACACGTGGGAGCATACTCGGGCCAGTGTCTTGATGATGGTTAGGGACGTTAATAAATCTGATGACTGCATTTGTATTAGAACAAAAAAGTGTCCTTTTACAGAAGTGTTTTATGTTTTGTTCAAAAACTTTAAGATTTGCCAGATTTACGAAAAGTTTCAGAAAATGAGCTAAAGTGATTGAAAAAAACTGTAATTAGGTCTCCACTTTCCACAGAAACAGCATAGATGTGGCATTACTCACTTAAAGTTAAGACTCTCCCACTTCTTTTGGGTCAGCCAGCCGCCGCACAGGGACTTGCTACTGTTCAGAGACTTGGCTCCTCCATAGCTGAGGCACAGACATCAACAATTACAAGAAGCTGGCTAAGACACTTCTCATGGTTCACAGGCCTTAAGTGTGCCAGTAACTCAGTTTAGTTAAACGGCTTTATGACCTTAAAGGGCAAGAAAAGGTATGCGAAGTAGCCTACAAATACCACTTTAAACTTTTTTAAATGACTCAGCGATACTGGAGGCTTGGAACTCACCAGCAGTAAGCATTTCTGTAATTATGTGACCTCATTTCCAGAAAAAAAGGAAATGTGATTACCTCTGAAGTAAGCCGTATGAGCAGTAGTATGTGAGGAAGGAGATGCAGAAGAGAAAAGCTGGGAAAAGTCTAAGGCACCATGCTGTGAACAGACAAAACAGAAACAGATTTAGCAAATTAATTAACATTTTATAGTGACTTTTGAATATAAATCAAGAACCAGCAGTTAAGAGTTAAAGGGCCTATATTCACAAAATTGATTCTTGAGAGCTTTAAGCCATGTTATAATGCTGTTACCTCCTCAAAAACATACCTGGAATTTTATTTTGTTTCATACACGTTTGAGCAACCCTCTATTATTAGTCTGTCTACCTCTCCAAAGCTCAAAAGCTCAAAATGGTCCATAATGTGATGTGATGAAGCAGTATTTATCTAGTTAACAGCTACCTTTTAACTTAAGTTTAATAAAGATAGGCAATTTCAGGGCTGAAATTATTAGTGAAGATGTATGGAGATTAAAAACACAGTGGAGCACTTCTTCTATTACTACATGACATCACAACATTGAACAGTGTCTTCAGTTTGAGAGAAGAACGCAGGGTAAATATGCAAGGTATGTGTGAATGAAATGTTTGGGTAAATTAAGGGTAACTATGGGTAAATCCCTGATCTATATTATGTTACACTATAAAATCAACACATTAAAAAGTAATCATTTATTCTTTTCTGTGGCAGTTGGGCTATCACAGATGTGAACAGGGTTTGGAAGTTTGGCAATTATACCACAATATAATCATAAGAACTAAAAAATATATATAATTGTGACAGCTTTGTAGGTAAATCAAGTCAATTAAATCTAATGTTCTGGTCTTGGCTTGTCCCATGTAACAAATAAAGGTGTTTTACTTAATAGAGCCTTTACTTATCATTTCAAAAGTTTAATATCAAAAGGCTGGTCACAAATTTGAAGATCTGTAAAATATATAAAATAACAAGAATAAGAGAAAATAAAGGATTTCACTGTTGTTTGATAATGGTGTCAATAATTGTGAAAAAGCATTAAATGATGGTGTTTATTCTCAGAATAATCATATTTTCAAAAAAAAATGATTATGTGACATCCCTTTAACGACAAGCAGAAGGGCCTTCAGTGCTTTTACATTACACTTGTTTAACCTTTAACATTGACATGAGAGAAATATTGGGAGCACCACTTAATGAGACATAAGGTTAATAAACAGTTAGTGGTCAAAAAGTGATTAATACATTCCTCTTTAAAGGGAGGTGCTTTGTTTAGGTGCTGATAGAGTGCTTGTAGAGGCTTCCTAAGCCAACCTTACAGCTGCTCGGGAAGATCAGAGTGGGTCCTGGGGTCGTAGCGTTGTGACATGTTTAAAGGTTATTGTACACAGATACACTGAGATCCAGAATGTGTTTTGGATTTATTAACAGACAGCTATCACAGAGCAGCAAAGAGAACGGATGGGACCAGTGGCAAGAAATAAAGGTGAGTGGCGGTCAACAAAAATTACAGCTACCCAACCCTAACCTTCTACCCAAAAAGAGTCACTGGTGCACTCTTTTAAACCCTCCCACAAACGCAGACGCACGCGGGCCTGCCCACGTGAGCCTCGCCCCTTCTACACCGGCACAACACACCCACACATTCAGTACTCCAGTCCTATCTCCTACAGTGCTGAAACTGTGACTTTGACGCACGTGATTCGTTTTGGTGACCATGGGCAGCAGCTGCTTATCCAAAGTTGACAAAGTTGAAAATAAAGCTTTATATCCACAAATTGTTAAGAATCCATTAAAACTATCTAAAAATTTAATTAATGTGTGTATGAATAGAATTAAAAACCTCTCTGTAGAGATGTTGTAAATAACATGCAACAAAACATCCATCAAACTAATTCAAGCAAATTAAAGGACTCCATTTCTCTCTTTTGGAAGAGTGTAATTTGTGTGTGACCAAAATGGAAACCAGTAAATGAATGAATCTCACATCACAAAGCCACAAAGATATTTAATAATATATTGAATGTGTTTTTACATACATGTTTATGTAATGATAATCATAAAACAATGTGTATATATAACACACCGCCTAAGCATTATTTACATGCTTTGCATGCTGTAATGTCCTTTTTGGGCAAGTTATGTTGTACGCTTAAACAGTCAAAACATGTTCAAATTCCATCAATGTATCATAGACCATACCAGACCATATTTAATATTTAAAATTACTAAAAAGCTAAAATGTTGAAAAATTATCCATATTTTTTTAAACTATCGATGACAACAGAAAAAGCAGATACATTTTTAAAATAAATTTGGGCTTTTTAAGATAAATGTGTGCACTTTTACTCACAAAAACAATGATTTGATTTGTTTCTTCTCTTGAAGTTATTAAAAATATACACAGAAAAAAGGGCACATATGTAGGTCAGAAAGGATTAAGTCTTACTTTTAGCTGACTTCTGGGACATCTTCACATGCTCCTCTGTGCCGTCATGTCTCATGCCTACTGCTGCCTGGGGTTAGCCTGGTTCTGTGCACAGAGAGACACAAAATTATACCATCTTCTTAGGAAAACTTGAGGTTAAGGGAAACTACAAACAACAAAAAACAAAACTGACGATAGTTTTAATACATCATAATGTGCATTTCACTTTTATCAACAGTTTAGTCCGTAGTTGAAAAAGGGAGGGAAACAGGAAATGGTGGTAAGAAAGTGAAGTGTGGCTAAATGAGTGGCTCTGACATCAGGAGTTGCCGAAGTTGCGAAATATACAATAAGAAAAAGACCTAAAACTATAATCAAGTGATATTTTTATTGTATAGTTTTTAGAATAATTTAGCTACTATTTATTATAGTTACATGAATCATAAAACTAACTGTAGATATAAATTATTTCCCCTTATTTAACCAGGAAAGCACTGAAATTAAGAATAGGGGTGGACAACAGTATGTCAAAAAAAAAATTTGTTGCGGTAGGGGAAATAAGAGCAACCGGATGAAATCTACGCATGTACAAGAAGAACATGTAAACTCCACACAAAGGCTGTCTGCTGTCTAGAAGTCGAACCAAGCACCTTCTTGCTGTGAGGTTGAAGCACTAACGTCTGTGCCACCGTCTCTCCCATTTGAAGTACAAAATGTTATAGTTCTAATGCCTAACTCCATTGCCAAACTGCAGCATACAGCTAAATTTAAATAAAAATAAGCCAAAATCAAACCATTAACAACCCTTTTCATCACCACACTTTGGTATGGTGATGAATAGGGTTTGGTTAGGCATGTTTAACAGGCTTTGGTTAGGCATGTTTTATAAAAGCAGGATTAGATTAGATGTTTTAAAGATGAAACTTTATACCTCCATCTTTGACGACATGTCGCAAGATACACAGAAATTTTACAGCAATAATGGGTTAGAGTAAAACAGGGATATGCATCACTGTAAAGTATACCAACCTCCTCAACTGAATTTTAGAATATTAATTGAGTAGAAAATATGTGTAATAGTTCTGACAGGGACATCAGGGCAAAAGCTACAGGGGGTCTTCAGTAGATATCTAAGTACATTCACTAACCTTAACCATTTGGATACAATGTTAAGTCATAATGTTTGTTTTGTGATAAACAGTTAATTCTTCAAATAAAACTTAAAAGGGTAATTCATGATAAATGTGCCAAGTCAAAGGATAGTGAAAGTGGGTTTTGAAAGAGCATTATAGGAAATAAGTAACAAACTGTAGGGGCACAGCTGAGGGTCTATTTTAAGGTGTGCATGTGTGTGCATGTAATGTGTTACATTGCTAGAGTAATGCAATACTGCTGTAAATCTATAATATTAAATGGTATTACTCTAAGCACAGAGGAGTGAAGCAAGCAGAGGATGACTTAATTTCAAACAACCACATGTCTGTATTTGGAGAATACAATGTTCTGACATCATTTCATTTTATACTAAAGTGGGTGTTGTCTGATTAACTGGATTTCATATTGTGCAACATCATTTCCTGAGTTACTGTGTTAGGTCAAACGGGTCCTAGTTCCTGTATGTTTATGTCAGCGTAAACTAACTACAGGACCAGATGTATCTATTTTGTATTTAATCATTATTTAACCAGTAACCACTGAAGTCCCACTGAGAATCTCTTGAACAGTCATGGCCTTAATCGGGAACTTATTATATACATAGACATAAACTACCCTGATAGAACCTCCACAGACATAGGGAGACCATGTAAAATGAGGAAAAGGGATGGCCCCACTTGTTCAGGGAAAGCACCAATCATCACAATTTAATCTAGTGCATCATTACATATGAAGTCATTAGCACCAGTTTGATTGATAATATCAAACATAAATATGTCTGCCTATGTGTAATGTATTGTGTGAATGTGAGAGTTGTGATTTTATTTCAGAACAAATGTCAGATCTATAATCTGACAATAAAATATTATCTAATCTAGTATGTGTGGACTTTCATCTATAGAGCAATATTTGGTTCAGTAACTTACCCTTTGTTTCTTTCATTTTCAGTAAAGTGGTCCTTGTATATAAGATTTTGCTTGTTCAGTTTTCTGTTTCCTGTAATAAAAATAATCAAACCTTCAGTACAGCTTTTGAAACAGAGTTGCTACAAAATAATTACACGCTATTCTGTAAAAAATACTGTTTTGCACATGCCCTCTTCTCAGTGAACATGACTAAGTGGAAAGTTTAACAGCTGGATGTAATGAAGCCCCCGCACAGGAGGGGGCACACAATGTTCAGCATCTCCAGCCGCACCGCAGGCGACCCCACTAAAGAGCAACACAAAAGATGCCTGTGTACAGCACTGAGATAGACAGAAATTTGGGAGTTAGATGGCTACAGAGCACAGAATGCCAAAGGGTACGTCGGGCAAATAATGAAGACTAGCAGCTAGGGCCATTAGCTAAAATAAAAATATTGCAATTCTAAGAACCAGATTACAATTACAATTTATTTTCAATGAATGTGCATTAATGGTTATCAGAGGATACTCTGCTGTATGGAAGCCCTTTGCCCTAGGGAAATGTGGAAACAGAAGGACCTTATCAAGGATATTTAAGTAATAAAAGATGATTGTCTGACATTGGTCTAATATCATGCCTGTGATGGGAGTCTAGTCTCATGCTGTGATGAATGATTAAGGATGAGTCAGACTATGACCATGGCCAAAAGTAAAAATTTCATTTTATCGTTTTATCATTTTATCTGCAGTTGAAATACTGATAAAATACTGCTTTTATGCATTTAGAATGTGTACAACCTTATCAGACTATCAGCAGATGTAGCGAGGGTTATGACAGGAAGGGCACCCGATGTGAAATCTATAAAAATAGCCTATTCAAATAATTTATAATAATAGGAAGTAGTAGGTTAAAAGTGACAAATTGGACATGTTTATCCACTTTTATAGTCCAATGTTTAATGTGGTTTGAATGTACCCGCTGCTTCCATTTGAACACTTCCATTATTGAGTCTAAATATTTTCCATATTGGACTGTGACCAATATCTGGGGAAACAAACTATTAAAAAAAAACTATAGAATGTCAAAATATAGAGTAATAAGTACATCAATACTTATAGCTAACCTGATATTGATCATGTGTAAACAAGAGTGATTAATAAACCTTTTCTCACCACAGCACAACTCAGTGTTCCCACTCTATTAGATTTACTGTCTGTAAAGTACATGGACATAAATATGACCTTCACACATAAATCTCTCCTACCTTCCATCTAATTTCTCTTCACCACGGTTACGCTCTCTGAAGAAAATCACATGTTTGTTCTACTCAAGAGGAAAATCACCTCTAAAACACATAATCTGGAAATATAATCCAGTCATAGGAGCTAAATCTGCCACCCATTCATGACATTTTGACCGGCTGTACAAAAGATTAAAGAGGCTCAAAGTATGTGCACTGCACCAGAAAATATAGCACAAAACATGGACATATTTTCAATACAAATTAAATAGAACTGTGAGAAATGTAACTAAATTAAATATGCAATTTACTCAGCAGAAACCAATTTAATATTAACTGTACACCAGTTGTTAGGAAATGTTTTATAGTTACAAGCCTTATTTGTTTTGTTGAGCAACTTTTAGATCTGTTTTTAAGCAAACTCACAGTTAAGACCTTGTTCTGTGTCATGTCATCATGTCCATAGAAGTTCATATTGATCTTATAGTGATGTTTAAGTCTTTAGTATTGCTATTGGTAGAATTTATATACCACTATCTAATTTTGCATTGTTCCTCCTTTTGTTTTATAATCACATGCAAGAGGAAAGTGACAATTAGACAAACTTTACCATGAAACCACAATGTTTATGTTGCTAATCTGCAGTGTTTAATTCCAGTTTAATCCCACAAACGCATAGCACTACCATGTACACTATTATGTCTCTCTGGCTCTGGGTTCTGGGAGTCAGTCTGGTCCTAATTAGTTTCATGGAGGAAGTTGTACAATGGCACAGGATGATGGTTTCCAGTTGGTCCTCTCCTTGCAAGCTCTTCCCATGCAAACAAACCTTTTAAAGATGCACATTTTGTACAGCTTTGCATGGAAGGGCAAGCAGATGATTATAGCGAAACATAAAGTCCACTACAGATAGAGTGGACTGTTCACTGTGCAGTAAAAGCTGGTAAGTTTGCATTCTTAAATAGTAAGAAAACATTGCATCTAAGGCATTAAGGGAAAAATAAAATTACAATGTAATAAGTTTGTTGCTTGTGGGGAAATTTACTGTGATGACAAATGTTTAAAAGGAGAATAAAAAATAATCTGAAAGTACCATACATCTGATATCACCATAATATATTTAGACTATACACTACTACTGCTTAGGCATAAGTCTTCTAAAACTCGGTCTGGGTTAAGAGATAAGGACTTTTGCAAGCACACCCCATCAAGGATATGACACACTAAACTGGTGTTTCACTCTGCAACTTTGGCATGTGCTGCTGTCCTGTCACCTACTGTGTATATTGACAGAGAGTCTGCCATAGATACTGGTTTTATAGACTACTCTAAATTAAACTTACTGATTTAGGGGTTAGGTATCAATTTCATCAGTGCCAATTAATAATAAATCAAGCTAATGTAGAATACCTATCACCTATCAGCACAATACAATACAAATCTGTAAATTACAGACTCTAATGACTCTTTTAAAAAGCAGCTCAAGACGCTGCTATTTAGACCAGGTTTTATTTTGTGTCTACAATTCCTCTGTTCTCGTACATGTTGTTTATTGCACTCTGTAAAGCACGTTGTGATTTTTTATTATTATTTTTTTTTAATCTGTGAAAGGTGCTCTATACATAAAGTCTTACTTACTTACTTGCTTGCTTACATTGTGCATCACAATGTCATATTAATTAATCATACACATTTAAATGTATGTGTAAAAATAAATGCAAACGTTGAAAATAATTACTATTATATTTCCAATGCAAGCGTTTATTTATTTATTTATTTATTTATTGTGGACAGACTTACCAGTAGTTGTGTTCAGCTGATGAGCTTTAATCCAGGAAACAAGCCCGCTGTACTCGAGTGATGTTGCAACCAAGTTCACGTTGCTTCAGGAGACATTCACAGCTTGAGCACGGCGTGCTTGCTTGAGGCGCGTCTACACAGCTTCACTGAGAACAGATGCACGAACGACTACGCCATGATAGCGGTGCGTCCATGCAATAAGTGCTCCTGAAGTGCATTACCCGTGTAGAGATCACTGACTGTAGTGATGGCACGAGTTCTGCTGATTTCACTCTTGATACAGCGCGTTCTCTTCTTCCAACAAAGGCACGCATGCGCACGTTTTACGCTCAAGAGGGGAATGTCTCAAGACAGTCGAAGGCAAGTCAAAACTTGCTGTGCCATCAACTCTAATCAGAACATGCCCGGTCTTCCTCATCATAACTCTCCAACATCATAAGAAAAATTTTGTTTATTTGTACCCGTATGTTGCAGAGACTGTTCTCGCTAATATTTTGAGAGCCCATCAATTTTTTGCTTAGCTTTAATTGAAACAGCTGGTGTCTGCCTGGATGGACTAGTTTACTCCGCACTGATAAAGACCCAACTAAGAATCCATTTCAGAGTGTTGGTGGTCTAGGCAGCTTGCTGATATAAGAGGTCTGCTTCGGGGCTTTCCAGTCATCTCCATATACACTGTTATTGTAAAACTGTTGTTAGTAAGAGGCATTTTATTTACTATATGTGTCACACAGAAACGGTCTTGCTTTTATTTCCAAGTGCTATAGGCTAAGGGCAGCTAGTGTGAGTGGAAACTTGCTTCTCAAATTGTAAATAGTAAATGGAAAATAGGCAAATAATTGCACGTATTTCCTCATAACCTGGCAATGTTCTTGTGTCATATATGCCGAGGCCTAAATATGGCCAAGGAGAGTAAAACACATTTACAGTTTTTCGTTGACAATAACAGGATAAGAGAAAGGCGACATCTAGTGGTAATTAGCGATCTTTGCAGTCCAATAAAGATAAGGTACACGGTACATACGCTGTAGCCTACAATGTACACTGACGTCCTGGAAGGGTTAATTGTCTTATAACAGAGCATTAAAAGACTAGATGTACTCAATGCTAAACAGTCTACACTTTACACATGTACAGCATCCACCATAAGTTTATTCAAAACATGCTGTATGTTGTCATGGTACAGAGCTCTTGCTGTTGAAGTCAATCACCTTCTCATTTTGTACCATGTCTTTCAGGTCTAAAGAAGAAAGATATGTCACACAAAATTCAAGGACAGTTGAATACTAGTAGGCCTATATAACAAACAAACTCTGCATGTTTCACTTACATTGAAGCACAGTCCTGTTGACCAGTGCATAGCAGCGGTCTGTATTTCTGCTGAGGTCACTGTAAGAGTAAACCTTGAGTTCTGGTGGAATCTCAGAGTGCAGTAAGTTTCTCACCAGGGGGATCAGACGGTTTGACATTGGTCCATCTGCCAGTGCTTGGTGCATAACATAAGTGCACCATTCATCCTTTAAGAAGTGCTTTGTGATGAGCAGAACCTTAATGTGGCTGTTCTGGACAGCCTGACACAGCTCAGAGGGTATGGCTGCTCCAGGACAGGAGTCTCTGTGAGACAAAAAACACCTCAGGTTATGAGGAGGCGCCTCGAGAAAAGACACCAGGCACTCCGCTTCCTCTGTGTCAGTGAGCTCACTGCTGTGGCACACGAACACATCATACAGGCGTGTCCATCGGATTGCAGAGTTCAGGAGGGATTGGTGCTGATGACAGCTGGTTGCTCCTGACAGGGAGACAGTCTGTGAGGGTGAAGACGTGACATCCGTCACTTTTGCCTCTTTTCCAAATTGAGATGCCAAAGGAGATTTTGATTTAAAAAGATTTTGAAACCATCCTGAAATATATATATATAAAAAGGCTTTTCAGTTCTGTGTACAAACACAATAGTTCCCATACTGAGCTATGTATACAATAAACAGATCTTGTGTGAGTTTTTGCAAAAGATCTACCATTGCAGTGGATTAGGTCTTCAGCCAATATTATGTTAAGAAATAGAATTATTTAAATATTTTGGACACACCACTCCCTTACACTGCCTGAGTCCTTCCATTAGAGAGACATAAAAATAAGTATATATGTGTGCTCTTATATTGACTGCTCAATCAGTTGGAACTGCCTCCAAATGCTTCATCTTTCAAGTTGTTTATTATCTTCACTCACAGTGCACTTCAGAATGTCTTATTTATGTGAGCTATTTTGTGCACACAAATCATAGACTGTATATCTCAGTTTTTGATACACAGCAAAAGCATTGTGGCACTGTGTCCAACAGTAGCAAGGAAAAAACACTTCTGCAAATACTTTGCCTCTTCACCCTTTTACCTCTTTGGAAAGATTTACAGTACTGCTTTTGAAAGATAAGCTTAAATGGAGGAAACATGCTCTGAATAACTTAAGTATTTACAAAACTGTGACACCTTCACTTTTTTACATAAAACTCTCCTCTGAATGTTATGTTATTGTAGTTATGAAAATACACTTAGTTATTCAGCAAATCACAGCACACATGTATGTCTATTTTTAGGTCTCTCTCACAGGAGGACTTGGGCGGTGTAAAGGATCGGTATGTGTCCAAACTCTTAATCCTAACATAATATTGGCTGAAGACCTAATCCACAACAATGGTACATCTTTTGTAAAAAGCAAACAATCAGCATAACTTCTCAAATAAACTTTGATCAACAAATTAAATTGTAATGGATCTTTAATTACAGTACGGCTTTTGCCAAATACACTGAATAAAATATTGACGGAAGATACAGAACAACCAAGCAACAAAATATTTACACTCACCATACATATTCTGAACTTCATATTGTGTCTCTTTATGACATTATCAGACGCAATACAGGTTTATCTTCTGAGCTTTCTGCTGCTGCATAATTTCAGTCAGGGGCTGTAGGCCTACTTGGAACACACTGAATAGGAAGGATGTTAAATGCAAAGACGAAAATGTTGTTTGGTTGTCATGTGACCCAATCAGAAAAAAGGAAGTCCCTAACGGCCAAAGAAATTTCAGTCAAGTGGAAATAAATGTATTTTCATATCCCTCTTTTACCGTAAAATGTACAAAACACAATAAATACATATATATATTTTAAATGGCTATGCTTCTCCAGTTGAAGAGGCAGCAAGGAAGGAAAAAAAGGAAATTGGCTACAAAAAGCCTTGTCAGCCTCATTTTAGTATTAATAAATAGACCGACAAAATAAATAAATACAAGTAAAACTACAAAACTAAACTCTGTTAAGTGTACATGGAGGTAGTTCTTCGTCTTGGTGAATAAAACGTGCCTGCCGCATGTAGACCCATGCATCAGTGCTGCTGTACTGCTGTACACCTGCAGGTACCGCCTTATTTACATTCTTGTGCGCATGCGGGGAAGCCCCCGGAAACCCGCATCCACTTCCGGTTTTGCTTCTGACGTGTCTCAAACTGTTCTTGCACTATTTGTGGAGTGTGTATCTGTTTTAGTGAGGATTATTCTGTTCTTCAGTTTTTGGTATGATTTATTTGTTATTTCTTTGGCATTATTTGTGGTGTTTTCATATTTAAAAACGTATTTTAACGTGACATTTCGCTGTGTGCTCTTTTTAAATCTCATCTAGTAAGGTTCGTGAACACAAGATGCTCGATTTCTTCACCATCTTTAGCAAAGGGGGGATAGTGCTGTGGTGTTTCCAGGGAGCAGGAGTCACTGGGTCTTTTACTGGACCCGTGAATGCTCTCATCCGCTCCGTTATTCTCCAGGTAAAATACATGGTATATTACAAATATGGCATGTAAACAACCCCACGACCATAAGCTAAATGCTAAAGCTAAAGCTAGAAATCTTCTTGCGCAAGGGCTCACTGTTCTATTTCAGCAATATATACCGATTAATTTAACTTTAGCGGAGACCTGCGATCTTGCACTCTCTCAAGAATCAGCTGTTTTAGGCCATGTGCTTAAATTGTCTGTGCGTTTTTTGTTGTTTTTTTTGTTTGTTTGTTTGTTTTTTGCATATTAATTGAGCTTGTTCTTGGCCCTGAAGCGTGCCATAACGAGCATATTAGTTTACTCAACTCTTTTAGTATAATAAATTATATTGGAAATGTAAGATTCGATTTTTTTATTTGTTTAATTATTTCATTCATAAAGCCTAAAAAGGCATAAACAGTGTCATAGCGAAATGAATGAAAAGGCGCAGAAGGAAGAGTAAGCTTTCGTTATCTGCCTCCTTTCTAGACAATACATTAATACTGAGAGTTACTTTTATAACAATTTATAGTTAAGTGTGGGCTAATCTGACAGCACAGTTCCTCTTTGTCAATGATGATAGTGGTGGTGGAAGGACAGTAAATAATACATGAGCTGTTGAACCATAAAAGGGGATTTTCTTATCTTTGAAAGTGAGAGTTGAAAGAGATGATTACACATTTTCCTGTTATTTTGGTATTGCAGGAGCGCAGTGGGAAAAATTCATTCACCCATGATGCTCTGAGTCTTAAGTATAAGTTGGACAATGAGTTTGAGTTAATATTTGTGGTAAGTTTTAACATACAACTTTAATAATATGTTAATCCAATGAAAAACACTTAAACAATGTGGATAACTGACCTGGTTTGTTTTAGGTGGGTTTTCAAAAGATCCTGACGCTGACATATGTGGACAAGTTCCTAGATGATGTTCAGCTTCATTTTAGGGATCGTTATAAGAATGAGTTGGAGCAAAAGGGAGCTTTAAAACTACTCAACAACAACTTTGACTTCGAGGATGATTTCAATATGCTTCTGAAGTAGGTTCATTTAAACATTTATTTAATGTACTATATTTATTGTAGGTCTATTAGATGGTTAATGTTTAATCATTTAACAAGAGGCTAATATCTTTCTAACACATGAAGAGAAGCAGAAGAGAGCAGCAAAGCTCAAAGCCGTGTTCGTGGCATGAGGACCTTTGAGGAGTCTGATAAATCTCAGAAAACTGTGAAGTCAATGATTGAGACTAAAGGTGGGGACAAAGGCAAGGACAGTGGTGGAAAGAAGAATAAAAATACCAAAAAGGGGGGTGAGTAGATTTTTTTTTTTTCATACATAATGCATTTCCTCTTTTTTTTTGCCATGCCAGCTTCACCCCAAAATATGTTTATGTTGTAGCTCCTGCAGCAGAGCCAACTAAAGTGGAAACTATAAAGACATCCAGTCCAAAAGCAACTGTAAATGGGAACCAGGGGTTGACTGCAGAAGAGATTCAAAAGAATCGGGAGGAGTTTTTTCGTAAAAAGCAAAAGACTGGAATTGCTGAAAAACAAACGTAAGTTTATTTTTCAGCAGATATCTGTGGTACTGAACAAATAAAAATCTGCAGTTTATTTTTACTATTTTTCATTCTTCTTTTTCACAGCAAGTCTCCTAAACCTAAGAAACCAAAGGAAAAAGCAATGCGTGTTTGGGACATGGGTGGTAGCAGCTCCAAGAACTTAGACTATAGTGAAAGAAATGGAGATAACGCCAGTAATGGCACTGACCAATATCAGGAGGGCCAAAAAGATGTGGTATTTATAAACATAATCCACAAGAAGAATGTGATGCTTTTGTAAATACAGTGCAGCTGAATATTTAAACGTGCTATGACAGGACCGGCAGCTGAGCCCCATGATAGGAGACTTGCCATCTGTTGATTATGAGTCCAGTGAAGAGGAAGAGGAAGAAGAGGAAACTGTGATCGTCAGTCAAAAAAGCACTCCTAGGTACTGAAACTTAAAATGTATAAACATTTTGTAGATTTGTTTAATGGACAGAAGTCTTTGTCCCATCACAGCTCAGGCAAAGGTCTGGGTGGCATGTTTGGGATGCTGAAGGGGCTGGTGGGCTCCAAGAGCCTTAGTCGAGAAGATATGGAACCAGTGTTAGAAAAGATGAGGGACCACCTCATTGGTAGGAATGAAACATGTAGATGTTCCCATTATGAGTATCCAAAGCATTTAAACTTTACACTTTACTAACGATCAATCTTTTTATTTCCATTCAGCTAAGAATGTTGCTGCCGAGATTTCCGCCCAGCTCTGTGAGTCTGTAGCTAAAAAACTGGAGGGCAAAGTCATGGGCACATTCACCAGTAAGTATACTTTTGATTCAACATAGATTACTATAACAAGCCTCTATTTAATAACACCTAAGCTAATATGTGCATGCTGAATGTATTTTTCTTCAGCTGTGACCTCAACTGTAAAGCAGGCTCTCCAGGACTCACTGGTGCAAATCCTGCAGCCAAAACGAAGAGTAGACATTTTGAGAGACGTCATGGAAGCTCAGAACCAACGAAGACCCTTTGTCATCACATTTTGTGGTGTCAATGGGGTTGGAAAATCCACCAATTTAGCCAAGGTAGCTTGAAGACAGAATCCTTCTCTATTCTCTATTATTCATTTTTAAGTCCTAATTTAACTGTCTGTTTTCAGATCTCTTTCTGGCTGATTGAGAACGGTTTCACTGTCCTGATTGCAGCCTGTGACACCTTTCGCGCTGGAGCTGTGGAGCAGCTCCGCACTCATCAGCGGCGCCTAAACTCTCTCCACCCCCCAGAGCAGCACGGAGGGCGGCCCGTCGTTCAGCTCTACGAGAAGGGTTATGGCAAGGATGCTGCAGGCATCGCCATGGAAGCCATTGCTTATGGTACAAAAATTGCATTTTGAAATGCTTGGATACTGTTTTTAATGCCAACCAAATACTGCATGGTTTCACCTTAGTAAACAGGATACAGTACTCAATCCATTAGAATTAATATGTGGGGTTTTGTTGCTTAACTCAAACCTTAGGACCATTGTCACTCAAAGGAATCAGAGAGGGAATGCTTATAGTGACTGCTGAAAATGTTTTTAATTTGTCTTCATTTTATCAGCTCGTAACCAGGCCTTTGATGTGGTGTTGGTGGACACTGCTGGGCGCATGCAGGACAATGCCCCTCTAATGACCGCCCTGGCCAAGCTCATCGCTGTCAATATGCCTGACCTTGTGCTGTTTGTTGGGGAGGCATTGGTGGGCAATGAAGCTGTGGATCAGTTGGTAAGATTAGACAGAATTAAAGTTTATAACTATCTTTCCTTAATTATTCACACAAGCAAGTAATTTATCTTTGTGTTTTCAGGTAAAGTTCAATCAGGCTCTAGCAGATCATTCCATGTCTGACAAACCTCGTCTCATTGATGGCATTGTCCTCACAAAATTTGACACAATTGATGACAAGGTATTAACAAAATCGAATATATTATTTGAATTATTTGATTGATATGCTTTCATTAACATAATTATTTTCTATTTCAAGGTGGGTGCTGCCATCTCAATGACCTACATCACTGGACAGCCCATTGTGTTTGTGGGGACAGGGCAGACATATAATGACCTGCGCAGCCTCAACGCCCGAGCAGTTGTCAGTGCCCTAATGAAGGCTTAAGCTGCTTTGGTCTCCTATTTTATTACATTACAGTCAATACAGCACACCAATAAGTTTCATAATTGTTGAATGGTTAATTTATTTCAGTAGTTCATGGAAAATTCATAGAGGTAAACATATTTATATTTATTACACACTACAACAGAAGTAGAGTCAGACATAATTCACTTTCATTTATAATACACTTTAGAATAAATACATATTTTGGGTATTTCTTTTATCAAACTACTAAAATAATTTAACTTTTCATTACTTATTGATGTGCTCCTGAATTGGATGTATACTGCTCTTAATATATTAATGTTCAAAACTGTTTTTTCTGTAACAAAAACGTCAGCACTTGTAAAATTACATTTATGATCACTTGAGTAATTCGGACAGACTATTGGACCTAAAGTATAACTGTTACCAGAGAAACAGTTTACAAAATGAAGACCTAAAAACCTGCCGTTTGTCACCTCTGCTCTCCGGGTTTGGAAGCTTAATATGTGACATTTTAGCAGCAGCCTGTGGGGAACGCTTAGTGACCATTGTGCCTCTGTGATCCCTATTTTTCAAGTTGTGTTAAAAAATCTGTTCATTTATACTATATCATGGGGACTGGATTTCTGCAGTAAAAAGCCAATTGAACAACCCTATTAAGCCTCCGAGTAAGACATGCAATTGGACATTGTGACCTGCCATTGAAACACACTTAAAATTTTCATTTCAATTTTATTACTTGGTAAATGTTGGTGATCTGGTACATTTCATGGTGACTGTACAGATCTAAGGCATAAACTTTAACAAAATCATTTATGTTCTTCCCTTTTTTAATTTTGACATAAGGAAGTCTTAATTTTGCCCATTTTAATTTATGGTGGTGCAATAAGAGGTAGAGTTGATTTAAAAAAAAGTTTTGAGATAATTTATGAGAATGTAAGCGTTTCTAAATAAAGCTGCTATACTGTTCATCTGACTTTTTCTGTTCTGTTTTATCAAGTGTCCTCAAATGTAGCAGCATTGCTTATTAAATAATATGGTTAGTTTGGAGAGTTTAATTAAAGTTTTAATCTCCATAGAGAAGGACATCTAGTATAATAAACCACTTGCATAAGATCTTCATAGTGCTAATCTTGTTTTATGGCTCAAGTGGCATTGCATAGTTGAAATGCAATCAGTAAATATTACAATAAGCACAAGGAAGGCCATTCTAGATCCGGAGCTAAAATGGAGAAGCAGCATGTTTTCAGATTATGAGACTGGTAAACCATCACAACAAGAAACCACACAAAAAGACCAGACCTCTGGGAATCCAACACCTGCTAATCCATGTATTCATATGATCGGTTCTAGTGATTTTTGAGTAACCAGAAGCCAAATAAAAGCAAAACCATAACAGGAGAAGAGTTTTCTTTGTAAGTTTTTATTATCAAAATACAAAATCAATTACAATTTTATAACAACAGTGAAAAATATTTGCTAATGAAAACCATGCGCATTCTTTCCTTGTGACTTGTCAAAGGCTTATTTCCTGCCCGTAAGTCTGTACATAGACAGCTTTAATGCTTCAGGGTTAAGTGTGCCCAATGCACTGAGAGTAATTGAAGGAAAAAAGGTTCTTAATACTTCAATCTATACATGTTAAAATGTGGTCATTATTGTCCATACACAAAGGTTCAAGCCAAGGATTAAAATGTAGGTCTAAGGTATACACCGCTTTGTCAGTAATCTGATAATCAATGGATTCTAAGTCAACCAAAATTTTTATAGGTGGGTGTTGTTGGGCTATTCGATTATTCTAATTATCATATTTTTACTGGCCACATACAAATGTATCCACAGTTTAGCTGCTATTTCTCTACTACACGTTGGGTTATTATTGGAATTTTGGATCAAATGTAGAGCCAGATCATAGAGATATCGGATAGTTTTGAGAGCTTGTAACATGGCCACTTCAGCTGACTAATGAAGACTTTCTAGAATTGACTACAGCCCTACTAAAATGCATGGAACATGTTTTCTGTAAACAAAAGTATACAATGATTATGACACTCTGACTTTCCCTTTAACGAAAGCCTATAAAAACAATTCTGAATGTCTTTTTTTCCCCATATCTTTAAACGGTTCCTGGATTTCCAAGTCTGAATGAGGCTGAAACCTTAGTCCAAGTAGCTTAGACTGGATGGAGCTGTGGGGGAGAATGATTGACAGTGATTCCAATAGTTTGCCTGTCAAGAGTGATGTCTGGCAAAGAGAAAGGAAGGACTAGAGTGAGTGGTGAGTAACAGAGACAATCCACTGAAAACCACAGCGTTGAGCATGCAGACACCACACACAGTGACAGCTAGCAGCATGCAGTATGAAGCAGTCAAGTATTTATTGTGCAAGTGCCTCCTCCAAGCATTGACTGGCCGACGTCACAGATAAATCATTCAGGCCTAACCTTGAAAGAGGTTTTTCTGTGTGGTGATGCCATTTTGTTGTTCCTCCTCATTTGGCGAAGGAGAACCTGGAAGAAAAAACACTGCATGAGATAAGTACCAAAGGTTAGATTTCAGTGTACTTTATTTTTAAAGAACCCATTTTGGCCAGGTTAGCTAGTTTAAAACTTTATTCATAATGTAAGAAGAGTGTAAAATTTGTCAGTAGCAAAATCATTCAAAAAGTAATCACTACTACATGAAATGATAAGCTATGCAACAAATTTTAACTTTTACAGTTTTTAACTTGATTAAAGTGATCCGACTTTATAAAACATACACACAAAATACACAAATACGCACATACCTACCTTACAATCAGACTCTAATTTACCAGAGCAGAAACTGGGCTTTCATTTTAGTTGTGTATGTATGGAGGACACACTGTGAAAATAGCATGTAAGGGCTTTTTTTTGGGCTTTTTTTTTTTTCAAATCACAATGGGTAACTGAATTACCCCAGTTCAATTAAATGATTATTACTTTTGAAGCAACTCTTTATTTAAAGTGACGCTTATTGTCCCCATGGAGGAATTTGTTTCAACCTTTGTCCCATCCTTCAAATCTTACCTGGCCTGATCAAGACTACCGTAGCTGAAACATTTTACCTACTGTATTGTGCATTTTTTGGAGTTGATGAGTGAAACCAAAGTGCTCCAAAGAAACCCAACCAGACAAAGAGAAAAACATGCAAAACTCTTCATAGAAAGACCCAGGGAGCTCAGAAGTTGAACCTGAACCTTCTTGCCAGTAAATCAAGCATTGACTACAGTGTATTAAAAAGAGAATATCTTACCGCAGCCATTGGTTGCTACATCCCGATTGCAGATTTCATTGGCCAGCCTTTCAAAGTATTCAGGCAGATCAGCATATTCATCTCCATATGAGATGACCTTGATTCCCTTGTCCAACATGTTGTCCCGTAGTTTTTTAAACTCTCCTACATCCTCTCGCCTCACTAGCATGAAGTGCTCCAGGTCCGACTTGTGTTTGACCGCCTCCAAAAAAAGGGCCTGAAACGTGGTGTCATCCACTGTCCGTCCACAGCCCAGAAACACAAAAGATTTGGTCTCGTACAACTTCTGGATCTCCCGCTTTTAAAAAGAATAAAACAAAACCCAAGACTTAGGTAAAATAATTCTGTACACATTGAAACATGTTCTCAATTATAACAGTAATAATTAGTAATTTCTGAAAGTAGCAGTAATCAAATGTTTTTGAACTAATTTATTTCTCTTGTGATAAATTTGGTGATGGGTCAACTCATTAAATAATCAAAATTATATGGCACACACTTACCATAACTTCAGTGTTCCGTAGTACATTCTGGTAGCCAGCAGGGTGCAGTACAATACCACTGGGGTTGGTGTACACGCCATGGATATGTAAAACACTCAATCTTCGTTTTTCCTGAGCCCACTCCAACACCTAAACACACAAACACACAGTTTACAGTCCACTGCACTCAATCCAGTCCAGGCTGGACTTAGAACAAAATCACTTAAAACCGCAGTTAGAGGATATTTGCCCTGGTGGAGGCGAGGCATAAATACCAGGACTGACAGGCAGTGACCAGCATTTATAAAACTGAAAGTATTACGTCACTAAATTAGCAATGTTACTTTACCGGTGTATATTTTTTAACTTGTGACTTTCTGCTAAGATAGAAAAATTTAACTTTCACTTTATGATTTTCAGTGTCTAAATGTTTGCTGATGATGATGTTTTAGGTATCTTTGATTGGATGACAAATGACAACTCAGTTGACCATTAGAGAAAATGTACATTGTGTTTGACAGCACTTGAGATAATGGACAGAGCAATGACCTTTACTCTCATTAAAAGACCAGCTGTTGTGAAAACACAGTTTAATCAATGAGTTGCATTTTAAAAATACCTTCTTCTCATCTGTGAGGTCCAGAGACTCCAGCTTAGTGCCCTGGTGAGCTGCATAGATTTCTAGTAGATTGTCAAAGTTTGTGGTGAGGACCAGCGCTCCACTCTCCATCAGCTGCAGCACAGAGCGCAGGAGGTGTTTCCCAGCATGCTCCATTTTGCACTCCAAGTCATCAAACACTTCATACAGGCAGTCTTTGAAGAACGTGGATCGCACATTACCTGTTCTCTGTTCCAAGCACGCACACAAATGAAGAATTAGTAGTGTAATCAATAAACCTTAACCTTAAAATATTTTTTTTTGCATTGCATTTTATATTTAGTTAATTTGTTTAACTCAACTTGATATAATGCATATACTTGCATACAAGATACTATTCTATGTACAGTGAAACTACTTTTGTAGCAAACCATGCTGAACACAATGCTCTCCATTTAATGGGATTTCACTCCTAAGTACATGTGAGCTTGCCATGTCATACCATGAGTGCACCTAGAGTCTCAATATAAAAGTTCCGTTATATATAAAAGCTATGTAAGGGGCTTAGAAAAAGTGAAAAAGTCTGTGTGACAAAAGACCAGACTTTTTTCATGTTCCTCATGTTACAAAACCGTTCAGTGTCTCTTCCAATCAAGAGGTCAGACTGAACACTCGCAGTCATGGATTCCTGGAATGTGAGAGTTGGTTCACATGCTTCAACTTTTTCTTGGGACATTTCTGATCAACAGACAAACAGTTCCACCGCCTCAAACCCACAGATCACATCCCTGAGTAATTAGCTCCTCTTACTTGACCATGCAGGTTGTAAAATAAATAAAAGGGAATGGAAGGAGTCAAAAGTCTAAGAATAGCAGAGGCAGCAGAGAGCTGTAGTGACCAAGGTGATACAGGCTCAGATTAAAGCACTAATGGGCTAAAGCCGCAGGAGTCCTTTCCACAGGAAGAACCTGTCATTATCCTAAAGTACAGTAAAATTTATTTAACTTTACCAGTCTTATTCTCAGTGCTAGATTTTATAAAAATAACAGGATAAAAATATTCCCAGACTATACCACAGTCAAACGCTAATAGTAAACAGCAAGTGAGTTATCCATTATTGATCAACACTGGTGCTTTGACGTTTGACAAACAAAACATTGTTCTTAACTTGACGCACAGACACCATAATCCATCATAATTCTATGAAACTGGGTAACCCACTTCCTCACAGGTTCTGTTCCAGCAGCTGTGCGTTTGTATCTACACAACTGCGGATTGAAATAAACATGGCAGATAAAGCCATAAATGATCTGTTTGTTCTTGTCGTAACAACAGACACAAAGTGTGTTTTATCATTTGAAAAGTGCGCTCAGACATGACTAACATCAAAGGAAAACGGTTTGAAGACCACCATCTGTCAGCTTTGCTATTTAATGACTGCAAACATCTTTTTCAAGGTGCCTAATGTCACAAGACATACGATCAAATGTAATGTGGTTAAGTGTGGTATTAGTAGTAATGCAGTGTGCAAGTTCAAATAAACCCAAACAGGACTGTCCATCCCTGAGTTTGTATTTGTAAACATGCAGGTCAATGTTGCACTGAGTTAAGCATTCTTACCGGAGAAAGTTTCTGAATGAGGTCATGGGCCACATGCACCAGATTCTTGTCCTCCTGCATGTGCTTCTGAAAGCGCCGGCTCTCCTCCTCCTCCAGCAGGTCGAAATCATTAGCTGCATCCAACAGAGCCTGGATGAGGCCCTTCCAGGAGCGCAGAGCTGGGACCTGTGGAGCCACTGCCGAGCTCACCCCAGTCCCTATCACCAGCACCAGCTCAGGGGCACGCTTGGTCTTCAGGCTGGGCAGAAGTTTCCTACATGAGCAAGATTGGACTCATGAGAGGTCCTTAGACTCTGCTGTTAGATTAACCGCAACCAAATTGAAATTTGAATGGATGCAATTGGCAAATCTCAAAGGCAGCAGTTTTAGAACTACCATATTTTCTTCCACAAACATCCAAATATCCCGTCAATCACAATTAGATATTTTCCAAAATTGTTCAGCCCTTTCAAGAAGCATGCAAACAATACTATTTAAAACAAACAATCACAATGTTTAATATGCTACTCATGCATTTGTGTCACTTAACTTTAATAAATCAAACATATTCAGTCATAGTGAACTGCTAATAAACGTACATATCATGCCAGTCTTAGACGCACCTTTCATTATAGCTTACCTGGGCTTTTTTGCATTGGAGTCTGCATCTTGAGAATCAGCAGCAGGTCGCTTCTCAGTTTTCGCTGCTATAACAGAGGCCATTCAGCTCCTGTGGATCAGAGAGGAGGCCAGGTTTAGGGCAAGTTAGTTTCTACACTGTACCAGCTACACATCAAAACCCCATGAAATCCCCATGGCTGTTTGAAGAACTAACTCCAGGAACAAGGAAGGAAGTATACTTATCTCTTAAAGAACAACACATGGGAACACATTTAAAACAACGTGCTGTACAGTGGGGGGGAAAGTTGAGTATATGAAATATATAACATGATAATGAGTCAAGTAATCATGCTACGTTAAAAATAGTTAGCTTTTTCCTTGAACCAGATGACTAGTTAGCATAATATGTGCAATGTTTACATTTAGGTTTTCGTTGATGGGTGATATAATTAAAACTATGTTATAGAATCGTAATTATTTGTAATAGTACAAAGAAAACTAACTATAAAATAATGCAGTTTAGCTCAGAATAATGTTTTAAAGTCAAACTTATATAAGCTATCCCATAGTTTAAAAAGCCCATTGGGGGTTCCCTTTTTCTTGTGTTTCACACGGAAGAAGTTGGCCGATCACTGTATCAGTACTGCTAAGTGAATGTTTTGTATTATAAACTGAAATGTTACCTTGTAGTATTGTTGTAGCCTTATACGCCTCTGCAGATCTCCTCGGACTCCCTAACATTCACGCTAGCTCGGGTTGAACTTTTGAGGAGCTGTTGTTGAAGTCACCGCCTGCAGAGGAGATGATGCGCCTGCTCCGACGGGGGCTTCAGGGACCACGCGGAAAGTGCACTTCAAAAGAATAACTGGCATTGTAACACAGTTTCTGTGGTATTGTAGGGCGTCATTAAAAGCAATGATTTTGATAAAGACTCACACTTAAATATTATACCACAATCAACATCGCGAATTAAGTGATTGAGATTTACACGACTTATCTGTAAGTAACTACACATATGGGAAGGCAATTTTACTTGTGTACATGAAAGGAGCATGAGCCTTTCCGTTTAAGCAGTAGGATAAGATTATAATAAGACATTTCTAACCACTTCTATAGGAGGCACATAGAAAAGTGCGTCAATATTATGTTAAATTCTGCTTTTTGGTGAATAGTTCCCATGCTTTATGTATTAAACATATTTCTTCTCAACGTTTCCTCCTTATAGTCCTGTTTCCTAAACTGGACGATTTTATTGCAAGCTCAAGAGAATATAACTCAGAGAACCTATAGCTAGGTGTTATAAGGAAGCTAAAATACGTTTTATATGTGCACTGTGCACACACACATTTGTTGAAGAACACTTCAGCGCACTGCAGTCCTGCGCCATCTTCTGGTGATAGCGAACGGAGATCAAGATCAAACTCAGTCACAGAAACAATGAATGCATTTTATTTATGAGCTGAATTTATATTCTCAAGTCAGAACACGAGAACATTTACTTCAAAATGCAATCAGTTAATTCAAGTGCAAGGATTTCACCCGGCCTTCATTTTCAGACACAGCTTCCCTTCAGAAACATCCACATAATTGCATACATTTAATTGTTATAGGAACAAACAATGTTTAGAGGATTTTTTTATTGGAACAAATAAATCCCAATGTTACTAACATTCATTCATTAATTTGAGGAAAGGCAGAGTGGTTTTAGTTAATGATAATAGTTCCTTCCAATATTGCAAAGCACATATTGCAAAGCACATATTGCTATATTATGCTATATTATGCTATATTATGCTATCTATCTATCTATCTATCTATATCTATATATATATATATATATATATATATATATATATATATATATATATATATATATATATATATATATATATATATATATATATATATATATATATATATATATATATATATATATATATATATATATATATATATATATATATATATATATATATATATATATATATATATATATATATATATATATATATATATATATATATATATGTGCTTTGTAATAACTGGTGAGATAAGGTGAAATATTTTTTTTCCAGTTGTAACATGGCAGAGCATAAAGCCCATAGTTCCATTTTACATAAGTAGGTAACTAAAATAATGTACTTAATTATGGCTTTAATAATGGGGTAAAGGTGAGGTCAAAGTCAGTATCCATTTTAGTGAAGGCATGATGTAGTTTCTTTCTACACAGAGATAGAGCCCTCTCTGAAGTTAGTTTTCCCAATAAGAACATTAAGAAGTGTAGCTTTTCCCTCATGACAATCCTTCTGTGCCTGTTTAATTATGTCACACAGGTTGTCTTCGTCTTCACGTCCAATGAGATAGCCCTTGCCTCCATAACCATCTGCTACTACATGATAATCTGTAAAAGATATTATAGTTAATACAATCTTTAATGTGACATAAAATAAGGATGTTATAGGAGGGCTGATCTACCTGAAAATGCAAGGCCACATGCTACATTGCTACCAAGCATGGGGACTTGCTCTCTAGAGATCTGACTCCAACAGGCATCATTTCCCACCACGGCAATAACTGGAGTCTGCAAAAAATGGAAACCAATTTTAACAAAACCATTATAAATTGTCAAAGGAAGTTACAACCTGTATCCTACAATGTACTAGTGGTTCCTTTACATAATATTATGAACAGAATGTATGGTTACCTTGTGTCTAGTGAAAGTGTCAATTTCTGCTACACTGTATCCTAAAGATCCATCACCATAGATTATCCAAACCTGAAAATACACACAGAGTTTGTTTGTTTTAATCCATGTCTAATGTGTACTTGAAGAAACAGAACTATGTCAACCTCAGAATCAGGCCGGCACAGCTTTGCTCCCAGTGCAAATCCTCCTCCAACTCCCAAAGTCCCAAAGGCTCCTGCAAACAAAAACTAAAATTTAATGTCATATAAGTAACAACATGGTAGCTCTAACAGTGGCTATAGTTTATTACATCAGTTATGACCAGTACAATGCATATCAAGACTTTTGGCAACCTGGATCAAGCCAGCGCAGAGGTCCTCTTGGTTTCAAAATGTAAGCAGCACTTCCAACAAAATCACCTCCATCTGCAACAATGATACTATTCTCAGACATGAGTTCATCTACACAGTGAAGAACCTTTAGTGGATTCAGGTGATGATCAGTCTTATCCTCTGCTTTGGTTCTTTACAGAAAGAAGAAAAAGGATATTTTTTGTCAGATATTGAAATGTCTTTTAATAGTTTGAGAGGGGATAGTATTAGAGAGAGAAGAACAAAACCAACCTGTTAGCTTTCTCTTTAGTTGTGTCACCAGATTTAAGGCTTTGTGGCCATTCCTCAGAACAGCGATGGCCTTTAAGGCCTTTGGAAAGATTCACCAAGAATGAACCAGCATCACCTTTCAAACAAAACAATATTTTCAATAACATCAACATTACAATGTGTTGGGTACAGGCGTTCTGAAACAGTACCCTGGATTGCAACAGTTGGTTTCCAAAACATATCTGAATTTTTTAGGAGTTGGCTCCTATCTCTGTTGACAGCAATAATTTTACTGCGTCTGTTCAGAACACGGCCATAGCTCAGACGGAAGTCACACACAGTGCCTGTCAACACAACCACAGTGAAATATCATGAAAATCTGACTGACTTAACATGTTACTGTACTGTTATCATACCAGCTAAAATGACCAGGTCAGCCTCCTTTAGGGCATCACGTCTGTTCTGTCTGATATGGATAGGACTGTCTTTACCCAACATTCCACGAGACATGCCACCCAGGAAGCAAGGTATGCCCAAGTCCTCCAGTGCCTTCCTGCAAGACAGATATGACCTAAAACTTTCTGTATAGATGTACACTTATGTGTTCATGAAATACAATAAATCAAAAAAGATGTCAGTTACCTGATATCATCAGCTGGTGTTGGAGGAAGTGTTGCTTGGCTTCCAAGCAGGATAACTGGCTTCTTTGCTCTACTTACCAGTTCTATGCATGTCTGTAACTTTTATAAACAAACAGACATGTTCAGAAATAGAAGAGCCATAAAGTTATTAAAGAAAGAAAAAAAAAAAACATACCTGATCATCTGTAGCCTGTGGGATATTCACAGGAAGAGGAGACACATCTCTCAGCTCCCATGCTCCAGCAAAGAGGTTCATGAGGTGATTATTAAGATACCTTTGAAATAATATGGATATTTATATGCATATTGTACATAGTCTTAGTTTAAGTGAAAAGACTACATACCAGGAGACAAATTTGCCCATTAAGCCCTTTGGGGGGTTTTTAACACCAAACTCTTTAGACACAATGTGGTAGGGGTACAGTGTGTCAATGGGAAACTCTATAAAGACAGGGCCTGGAGTTCCTGACTGAGCAATAGCCAGGGCCTTTCTAACAGTGGGTACAATCTCCCGAACAGTTCTGACAGAAGCACAGAATTTACACAAAGGCTTAAACAGAGAGATTTGGTCAATATCTTGCAGTGCGCCTCTACCCTGTAACCCAAACAGTACAAGATCAGATATAGGTTCATTTTTAAAATGGTTATAAAAACTCTTGTCCTTCACCTGAAGAAGAGTGCCAGCAGCTCCCCCTATGAGCAGTAAGGGGGATTCAGCCATCTGAGCGTTTTTTACCGCTGTGACAGTGTTGGTGAGTCCTGGTCCGGCAGTAACTGCCGCCACACCAACAGTTCCTATTAAATTAGGAGACATCTTTTAGGACAAAAAAGAAATGATGTTGTTTTTGTTGAACCAATAACATTTTCTTACTACCAGTAAAATCACACCAGATAAATGTGTCTTTTAAACACAAATTTGTTTTAAGAATGCTTAAATACAGATAAACAGTCAATTTTTACAAAGTGCACCTGAAAGCCTCGCAACTGCATCAGCTGCAAAGACTGCTGTGGCCTCATGTCTGGTGTCCACAATACGAATGCCCACTTTCTCACAGGCCACTAGGATGGGAGAGATGTGTCCTCCAACCAGAGTGAACACATACTTTATTCCATGAGCGCGCAGAACCTCAGCCACACTCTCACCCCCATGACGGGGACTTTTCGTCTCTGTCTGAGGGAACAAAAAACAGCACAGTCATTTCAATGATTTAACAGTCATTAATCAAAAATAAATGATAGACAGTTAACAAACAGATATTGGTTGTTGCAGCTTGGTCCCAATTGTCATTTATTTAATTGCCTGTGTATTGAGTACAATTTCTCTATAATCAACTATTGTCATAGAAAACCACTGGGATAGCCTGTTCAAAGTTTGCATGAATGAGGCAGCTTACCTTTCAGCTGACTCAGGTTACACTGCAGGCTAAAAGATAGTTTACTTTAAGTCAGTTTATGCTGGCTTCTTTTGAATGAGCCTACTGACTGACAGCAGCTGCACGTTCAATTCCATACTATAACTTATGATTCTGAGGAACAGAACCTACCTTATGGAACAACTGATAAAGTAAGCCAAGTCTGTAGGCTGCAAAGAGGAGTCCACTTGCAGCTATCCCCGACACGCATCCAAGCACAGTGCACAGCGCTTCATAATCCATGGAAAAGTCAGTCAGATAAAAATGATATAAGGTTTGTTTATGTGTTTACTTCCTTGCACTTTGGGAGCTCTGTGCAGGACGAATATAAAACTACAACGCAAAAACTAATACTACAAGTCACATTCTATTTAAGTTTGGCTTTAGTAAACAAATTAAATACCAAATAGTATATGTTTTCAGCAACGTTGTCCTCTGCTTGAAGGCTAAATGCTTTCCGTGTTTCCGCAATAGCTGGAGAGATACAGGAACAAGGGATATACTCATGCATCAAGCCTTCAGGTGTTACCCACTGCTTCTGGGAAATACTTTCAAAATAAAATACATGTATTTGCACGTTTATTTCAGTTTAAGCACTACAACTCCCGTATGTATAATTTTAAATAATATATATATGTTATTTCAATTAATAGTTTTAATTGTCTTTAAAATGAGCAAATAGCCATGGCAATTATTGACAAATTATAGTTTTATTGTGAAGAGTATACGGATACGTTACAATGTATTCATACCAGTGTAATAAGGTGAAGGACAAGCCCTTTGACCAATACAAGTCTCAAAGAGGTCAAGGGTTCAACAACTTTTAGTCTTATCATGTCTTTACAAAGTTCAGGACCCATAAGAAATGAAATAGGCCAAGGTTCACAACATATAACTCATTCAGAAAAATGTCTCTGGTTTTGACTGCCCCAAAACTGTAATATTATACATTAATTTCAAAGATGTTTAGAAGGTGGTCAGTATTCAGTTGATAATGGATCAACTACAAACAGCTTCAACAAAATAATATAAGATGCAAGCAGCCTATTATCATTGGACAGTATCTCTTGACATGTGTATGCTTAAGTTCTAAGCAAGAAATGTGTGGAGATGTCTTTTTATAATAAACTACAAAAAGGAAGTTTGTACACATCAGTTGTCTTTCCATACTCTGGATTTTCAGCAAAAACAATCACGCCATCAGTTTTTTGTTCCTCAAAAACAATTACCTAAGCAAATAGAGCACAAGTAGACATAGGAGTTAAATTTGACTTGATTCAAGTGGATTAATTATTTACACATAAATGTTGGTTTGTAAACTAAAAAACAACCTGATTCTCTCCACTGTTGAGCCAAAGTCCAGGGAGGTAAAGACAGTGTTGAGGACCAATCGACCAATGACGCCCAAGATTGTGACTGTTAACAAATACAGCTCCTTTAGCCCAGCCCTGAGAATAAATACATACATTTAAATGGCTTATATTACACAACTTTTTGATCTATGTTATAATGTTGTATCCTCATTGGAAACATACCTGGTGTTGTGTTTTGTTTCATTCAAAACACAAACCCTGCATCTTTAGGCTGTGTTCTTCTCTCAAACTGAAAATACCCTGTTCCGTCTTATGAGATCATGTGGTAGTACAGGAAGTGCTCCTGTGTTTTAAAACTTCATAAAACTTCACTAGAATCATTTGGATGATTTCAGCCCTGGACTTGTCAATCTCTACTGAACTAAAGGTAAAAAGTAGCTGTTAACTTGAAAACTGCCACTACATGATATCATGAGGTGGAATGGAGCATTTTTAGCTGTAGAGATGTTTATAGGTTATATAAATTATAGGCTATATATTTTAAGGTATCAGTAAAACGTACCAGCAAAGAGTAATTAGGAAAAATAATTAGGAAAAAAGTTACAGGCAGTTTGATGAAGGTGTCTCTTGGTGGACCATCAACATACAGTCTTGCTCTGAAAAACCCAGGCATAGAAGTGCAGTTGGTGCCGGATTTCCATCTATCTGATATTAGCAATCTGAAAAGACATGACACTCAATGAAAAAGACCATGTAAATATAAGGTGTCTTGGCTGTATGAAAAAGCAAAACTACTTATTTATAAAATCGAGTCTCATCTCCAAGCTGAAGATTGTGAAGCCTCTCAATGGAATCTGATTTAGGAAAATATCTCCTACAATGCCTATTATTACAAGAGAGAAATGCTGTTACATAGTCTATGGTCCTTTTGCAGTAAATTATTGAAAGAATTTTTGCATTGGGAAAAAAACTGACCTTTACGCTGTTCGTCAAGAGCTTTCCCATAATTCACACGGCCACAGTTTTCTACAAGTAAACTCAGAAGTCTCTCTCCCTTGTTATTTGTTAAACACAATTATTATGAAGTTTAATGGGATTATTATTATTGTATTTGTATTTTTATAGTGTTTGATACCTCTCCATCCAAAAGTGCCACCTCATGATTTCTTGGGTCCAACATGCCAACAAACTGTCTGTTATCAAACACCTGCAGCAAAATGAACAGTAACATTAAAATATTACACACAGGCGACTGTAACTTGTATAGATGATTACTCTAAACTGTATTTGAAAACTGGTCTCACCAAAGCCCTATCCCTGATGTTGTTTTTAGACTGAAGACTCCCTCCATATGTTATGCTTGTCTCATACAAAGTGTAACCATATGATTGACCATTGTTATTATTGACAGGGAGATTCTCCATGTTCACTGGTAACTCAGATCTGCATGACTGAACAGCAACAAAATAGTGAGTGAATAAAGTGAATAAAAGGTTGCCCCATTTTGGTGTCTTAAAAACAACTGATCTAGACTAAATCCTGTGTTACTTCCGTGAGGTGCAGAATGTCCCACAGTGACAGGTGCTGCTCAACAATCACAGGGCTGTACTCTCTCCTCTGCTGAGAAATTGGCACTTCTGGAAGAGGCTCATCTGCAAAGGTGCTCAAAATTTAACAGGCCCATATTATGCTATATTCATATCTATGTTATAATGTTGTTTCCTCATCACAGACATACCTGGAGTTGTGTTTTGTTTCACAAATGTTTAACACACAAACCCTGCATATTAAGGCCGAGTTCTCTAAAACTGGAAACACTCATTTGAATCGTTTCAGCACTGGAATTTCAAAACTTTACCAAATCAAAGGTAAATGGTACTGTTAACTTGAAAATTAGTGCTTCATTACATGTAGACAGACTAATAATACTCAACACATCTCCAGGTGTGTTTTTGTTTGGTTATGTTTTGTTTGTTGTTTAGCTTAAATGCCTTACAATGATATCTGCTGAATAGGTTTCTCAAGGCATAATACTTTTCAGTGCAATCTCCAGACTCAGACAAAGGGGCATCATAGTCTGCAATGATACCAAAAACAATCACTATTATTACCTTGGCTAGTTTATTTACAGATCATTCTTAAATAAAAAAGTAATTTAATAATGTATATATTTTCTAACCATAACTGGTGACCTGTGGTTTGTAATTGCCGAGATCCATCGCCCCATTCATGAATCCAAAGTTGGTCCCACCGTGAAACATGTAGAGGTTAATGGAGATGCCTCGCTTCAAGATTTCTGATACCACATTAATCATGTCTGATTAATGTTAAAAAATTAAGTTACAACATTATTCCTATAAAATTACCACCTTTAAAGGTGTCCTCTGTGGTGTCTTTTTCTAGAGGAAGGTCCCATGGAGATGTTCTTGCTTTGCCTCATGTTCCAGGAAAGCATTTAATTATCTATCTAGCAGTTATTAAATTACATGTGTTTTTGTTGCTCATAAGATACATTATTGTGAGCAGGGTCACAATATAAATATGACTTCAGATCTGATGACAGATCTGGCCTGGTTGGTATCACCTACTTATCTCCAAGGAAAACTACGGAACATTCCAGGTAAAACAATAAGATTTACATGGAGATCTGGTAGTATACTTTCCTCCAGAAAAGTTGCATCATGCATCTTTAATTTACAACATACACATTTTTACCCATACCCTCATAGTGGAACACATGATGATGCTCTCCCCACACATCAAACCAGCCACACCAATATTCCATCACCATCACTGGTTTCTGTGGCTGCAAGGTAAAGTTCATTTTCATTTTGCCAATCCAAATGCATAAACAAACCACTTGTAAATACAGCTACCTGCATGTCAGCTAAGTGTTGAATAGCTCCAAATGATAGTCTTTGGAGATTTATGGTTCTCAGAACTACAGAAACAATGCCATTAGATACATGCAAATAAAGGAGCCCCATTACACCTTCTGATCTATGTTGTAATAATGTTTCTGATCATACATACCTGGAGTTATGTTTTGTTTCATTCACACATGTCCTGCACATTCAGGCTGAGTTCTTCTCTCAAACAGAAAATACTCTGTTCCACCTTGTATATGGTAATACAGGAAGTGCTCCACTGTGTTTTTAAACTCCATACACCTTCCCTAGAATCATTAGAATATTTCAGACCTGGAATTGCAAATCTATACTAAAAAAAGATAAAAGGTAACTGTTAACTATAAAATGACAGGTTCATGACTTCACAAGATGGAACAGAGCGTTTTGGGTTTTGGAGATGTAGGTAGAGTAATCATAAAGGATTACTCAAACATGTGTAAATGAAACAAAATGCAACTCCAGGTATATTTTTTGATGAAGTAGCAACATTTTAAACTTAAAGCCTGTGACTTAAAGCCCACAAGAGTCAGTTTTTATAATATAAATTTATAATATAAAATTGACTAAACTTATTAAAATAATTGTGCGCTGATTTTGAGTTGTACCTCCTTCTGTGCCTCCACACCTCAAGCCCTCCCAGTTGTCTGAAGTCATTAACAGCTCACTGATACCTCTGCTCTGAAAACACTACACAACAAATATTCAGTCATTTCAATTGTGGTATAAACTACAGCCTTTTAGTGTTCAATGTTTTTACTCACGATTTTTATAAGCTTCATGTAGTTCTTATCTTTGGCATATGATCCATACTCATTCTCAATTTGGAGGGCAATAACTGGGCCTCCTTCTTTATACTACAGAAAAAAATGGTGACTTGACTATATTATTGATGTGACCTTTCTCTTTCTCATTTTTATGCATTTTTACACTGGTTAACACTGAACCAACACAACAAACAATCAGCACAGAAATAGAGAAGGCAGCACAAGCTTTGCCCATAAAAAACATATTTGGCATTGTAAAAACAGTTAGCTTTTAACTTATTATTATTATTGTAGAGCAACATTTTATTTAGATTATGCATAACTGCAGTGGAAAAATGAATGATTTAAAAAAAATCTTAGCCTTGGTCATTTCTCTCTGTGATTAGTTTATAGATAAAATGAGTTTTCACATTGGCTTCTTGTCATATAAAAAAAAATGGTAAAAGAGCCAGCCTTTTGAATGACTCTTTGAAATGAACAAATCCAAAAGATACAGATCTCATAAAGGACCGAAAATCCCATCACTGGACTATACAAGTAAGTATAGTAAACAAGTATACAGTATACAAGACTGAATATCTTGTTCTAAGGAGCAGAAATATCTTACCAGCAAAGGTTTAATAACAGTTACTAGCTTGTCGAAGTATAGGTTGACAGCTTCCATAAAACCAGGATAAGATGTCCGTAACTGCATATTTTTGTCACGTAACAGCCAGCTGAAAGAAAAGTAAAATGCTTGTTTGCTATTTTCTAACTGGAGGCAAAGATGATGTATTTACCTTGGCAGTCCACCCAAGTCCCACTCAGCACAAATATATGGTCCAGGCCGCAAGATCACCCAGAGACCAACTTCTGCAGCCAAAGACACATAGGCCCTGAAAGAATTAAGACCAATAAAGAGCTGATATGACATTATTTTCTGATTTATAGTATGTTATAATGCTATTTCCTCATCACAAACATACCTGAAGGTTTTTTTTCACAAATGTTTAACACAAAAACTAATTTCATGTGGTAATACAGGAAGTGTTCCACTGTGTTTTTAAACTGCAAACACCTTCTCTAGCATCATTTGCATTAAGCATTAATTCCAACCCTGGAATTGACCATCTTTACTGAACAATAGATAGCTGTTAACTTGAAAACTACCACTTCATGACATTACAAAATGAAACAGAGCATTTTGAATTTTGGAGATGTACGCAGCCTAATAATAAGGGGTTACTCAAACATGTGTTAATTAAATAAAACAAAACTCCTGATATGTTTTTGAAGAGGTAATAATAATTATGCAATATAGGACATTCAATAAAATCTAAACAAATTCAAAATAACAAATAATGTGTATTACCTAAGATCCAGTTGACCTTCAAAGTGATATGCCCCCTTCTCTGGCTCATGTAGATTCCATGGGACATATCTAATACAAGAACACTGTCAATAATGCTTTAAATAGTGCATTCCTGGGTTGCGTTTGTGTCGTACGTGGTCAGTGTATTGATGCCACATGCTTTCATCTTCAGTAGTCTGTCATGCCAGTACTCCCTGGGAACTCGGAAGTAGTGAATCGATCCCCCCAAGATCCGAAAAGGCTTCCCATCAAGAGTGAATTGACAAGTGGTGTCCTTCAAACCGTCTACACGCTCCATTTCAACACTTGGTTAAAAAAAGAAAAAAAAAATCTGTAATATTAGCAATTAGTTTTTGCTTGTGTAATTGTGACAGACTATGATAAAACAAAATCAAACCTTACCAGAAATCCAGAAGGATGGTCAAAGCAGGCTTGTAAACTGGTCAGAAAAAACAAAACAAAAAAACACTGGGATTGTGCCAGAAAGTCACAAACCTTGCATATAAGGGAAACCATTGTTAAAAAGAGCCATAATAGTCTTTTGTCTCACACAGTTCCCTTTCAAACACCAGATAGGGGTTAGGCCAAAAATCTACTGCATGGTACAACATGATCTATTTACAGATGCAATAGCCTACTATTCTTTCTGTACAGTTAAATGTATAATAAACATTTATGTAGACTATGATTGTCAGGCTGTTACAGTAGTCTAATAATGAAAAAGTTATACAGTGATGATGATGATGACAATGATGATGATGATGTTATTATTATTATTATTATTATTATTGTTAGCAGTGTTGGGAAGGTTACTTACTTACTTACTTAAAATGTATTCCCTTACAGATTACAGATTACATACCCTAAAATGTAGTTTGCAACGGAATCCATTAAGTTACTTAAAGTGAGTAATGTAATCTGAATACTTTGGATTACCTGATTTGCTGTAGAGAAGAAAAGACTAGGATATCTTAACATAAGAAGTTTTGTCTGATAAAAGAAAATAAAAAGCCCAGACTTTACTGAACCAAATTAAAAATATTATTGATAGAAGACGAGGAGATACAGTCCACGCAGCATGGTTTAGTCATGTTCAATCCTGTTTTAGACCTGGTTTAGTCCTGGTTTTAGTCCTGGTTTTAGTCCTGGTTTAAACCTGGTTTAGTCCTGGATTAGTCCTGGTTTAGTCCTGGTTTAGACCTGGTTTTAGACCCAGTTTAGTCCTGGTTTAGACCTGGTTTAGACCTGGTTTTAGTCCTGGTTTAGACCTAGTTTTAGACCTGGTTTTAGTCCTGGTTTTAGTCCTGGTTTAGACCTGGTTTTAGACCTGGTTTAGTCCTGGTTTTAGACCTGGTTTTAGACCTGGTTTGGACCTGGTTTTAGACCTGGTTTTAGACCTGGTTTGGACCTGGTTTGGACCTGGTTTGGACTTGGTTTGGACCTGGTTTGGACTTGGTTTGGACCTGGTTTGGACCTGTTTTGGACCTGGTTTTAGACCTGGTTTTAGACCTGGTTTTAGACCTGGTTTGGACCTGGTTTAGTGTCCGGCAATGAGTGGAATTACAGAAAAAAAAAAATATATATATATATATAGATATAGCCAAAAATGTGAAAACAGGAAAATACCACAGTGTAATCCATTTATTTCAACAAAGTAACTGTAATCCAATTACCACTCATTCAAACAGTAACTGTAACCGAATACAGTTACTCATAATTTGTACTCTGATTACGTAACTCCGGTACATGTAATCCATTACTCCCCAACACTGATTATTATTATTATTATTAGTAGTAGTAGTAGTAGTAGTAGTAGTAGTAGTAGTAGTAGTAGTAGTAGTAGTAGTAGTAGTAGTAGTAGTAGTAGTAGTAGTTATCTGTTGACAACTTTTCGTTTTGTCCAGGTTTGTATTTGTGTGACTGTCCCTAAATAACAGCACTGTGTTTGTTTTCAGTATTTAGCTAACCACTAGCTGCTACATACATTTTAGTTAGCTATTGCTAATATCAAGTTTGCGCATGTTAAACACGTAATTTTACCTTCAAAACCTCGGAGTTTGACTTTTTATGCCGCCGATCATGTCAACGCGTTGCTTGTTATCATGACGCTTTGTAGTGCTCATGATTTACATATGTCGCAGAACTAATTTTCGTAATCTTAAACTGCAGCATAACGTGACATGACTAAACTCACATGACGATCACAGAGGAATTGTTATGTTACTAGAGTGGCAGATTAAAAAGGTGATTTTCTGTCCATGGAAAGATTATCATGTGTCCGCCTGTCACTAAAGCAGAGGTACTTTCTCCTGCTCTGCGTGGCAGTTTGCGCACTTATCATTTACCACCGGTCAAGGTAAGGACTCCACTTTTCAACTCTCCTCACGTAACTTCAGCCATGCATGGAGTTAACTTTGATAAAGCTGATAAAGGCAACGGACCATGCACATTCTTGTCAGATCTGTTTCTAGCGGTGTCTAATGTGATACTACACCGCTTGCACTTTATTAAAAATGTATAACCTGTCTACACTGTCTTGAGTAAGGTAATTGAACCTTAACCTGGTCTGAGACTGCTTATGTGGACATTAAACCTGTCTGCAAAAAAACTTTTCTTTGCACAAAAAGTGGTAAAGTAGCTGGGTAATAGAAAGTACACACTGTAATATAAAATACATAATGGTAAAAAACAAAACAAAACTGAACATTGTAAGTACTTTGTCACATGTTTTCATGCTACAAAATGCTCATCTGTGTAGACATTTTTATTTGGCAACCTCATTAGCAATCATTATCAGATTCATGATTTTGTTTCTGTTCATGAATATTTTTTATCTGAACTCTAAATGTCAGTATATTTCACTTACAATCATTTAAACTTTTTTTAATATGTTATTTTTGTTTGGCAACCTCAGTAGCCTCAGATAATTCTGTAATTTTAAATTTTATTTTTTGGTATATTCATATACTTATGAATGTCATTGTATTCCACTGACAAATACAGTACAGATACAATATAAATCCTCAACCACATTATCTCACCAGTCATCTATTACAACACTAATGTACACACCTAGGTTAACTGCTGTCCTTTGATAATCTGTTACCTACTTTTTGAACCAGATCAGCAAGGATTGATCCACTGCACGTGTCTGTATGCATGCTCAATATAATTATTATTTTCTTTATTTTCCTGAAGTAAGAGGTTGTTAGGAGGACGAAAAATGAGTCGAACAGAGAAACTTCAAGCCAGTTCTTCTCAATTCACGTTGGGAGGAAAACCATTTCGTATTTTGGGAGGATCCATCCACTACTTTCGAGTGCCCAGATCTTACTGGGAGGACCGCTTACTCAAGATGAAAGCTTGTGGCATCAATACACTCACAACGTAAGACACAGAGTTGATAAATATGTGCCTATAACTTACATATTTAGCCATCAATAGATTTTACTACATTAAAAAATATGTGTTATATTTTGTTGCAGTTATGTGCCCTGGAATCTACATGAACCTGAGCGAGGGGTTTTTAACTTTGAGGATGACTTGGATTTAGAGTATGTTAAAACCCACAAACTGGAGTTGTTCTTTTGTCTTGTAGTAAATATTCCTGAAGGTGGCACTGTTGTCCTTTAGAGTAGATTTTCACCTTGTATCAACGCCAAAAGCCTACAGAACATCACATTTCCATTATAAACATTCTTTATGCAAGAGGTGTAAACAACTGTATTACATTCAAACTTGATTCCCAGAGAGTGGTTATGTTAATGCCTTGTTTAGGGCTGTAGTTGAAGAAATTCTTGGTCTACTGAAGTCTTGCTGTGTGCATCAGTGACTCCACTACTAAAAGGAGTGCTGGCAAAAGCTCTCAAAATGACTAGAATCTCTTACAATATTGTGTGTTCATAGATGTACTAGTAAACAGTATATTCATACATTAAAATACAGATTAAACTGTCCAATCACTCCTAAAACTCCAACTCAGTCCTTGCATTCTTCTTCCTTGTGTTCAGCATGAGAATATGTTAAAATAATAACACAATAGCAATTTAGTCAACTGAAACAGGATCTACCAATTAACTGATTTAACAACTAAAGAACTATATTTTGTATGCATATTTTCCAGAGCTTACCTTCAGCTTGCAGACAGATTAGGACTGTGGGTGATTCTGCGACCAGGACCCTACATCTGTGCTGAATGGGATTTTGGAGGACTTCCAAGGTAGAATATATTTTGACCTATTTGTTTTGTTTTTCCTGATAGTACTTTGTTACTAAATTATGAATATGTTATATAAATACCAACGGTGATGTTTTTGACCATTTATTTATTTAGTTGGTTACTGCGAGATCCAAACATGAAACTAAGGACAACTTACCCTGGATTTACAGACGCAGTCAACACATACTTTGACCAGCTGATTACAAAAGTTGTTCGGTATCAGGTGAGATTGTAAGATATTATATTACATACAGGACAGGGTAATTAACAATTTGTTTAAAGGTCCTATCATACGCAAAATGTGTTAATCATTTTCTTGATAACATCATTGTATCCGAAAATCGTGTAATATAGGCCCTTACAAGATCATAATTAAACTGTGTTGGATTGCATAGTACTCTGCTGGAGGTCCAGTCATTGCAGTTCAAGTGGAGAATGAATATGGATCCTATGCTAAAGACACAGAATATATGACCTTCATAAAGGAAGTAAGAATTTAAATATAAAAATATAGTCTGCATAGCTCTCGTGTGGTGACTAGTATGCACTTGTCTTTCAAGGCTTTACTGTCAAGAGGCATCACAGAACTGTTGGTGACCTCAGACAACACAGACGGCCTAAAGCAGGGAGCAGTGAAAGGAGGTACTGTCTGACAGAACACACACGTACTGTTGGTGATACATGCACATATGTAACCATTGCATTTTATTTAGGAACCTCATTTTATTTGTTTACCATTACAGTTAAAGGTCCCATATTACACAAAATGACTGTTGTTACCTCACATGCCCAGAATTGTGTTTTGTTTTAGTTCACACATGTTTGAGTAACCATTTATTATTAGTCTGTCTATATCTCCAAAGTTCCAAATGCTCTTTTCCTCCTTGTGATGTCATGATGTGCTAGTGATTGCCAGTTCCAGGGCTGACAATCATCCAAAGTATTCTTGTGAAGTTGTATGGAGATTAAAAAGATAGTGGAGCACTTCCTGTATCGCCACATAATATCACAAGGCAGAACAGAGGGTTTTCTCAGTTTAAATATGCAGGATTTGTGTGTTAAACATGTGTGAATAACTCCAGATATGTGTTTGATGAGGAAACAACATTATAGCATAGATCAAAAAATAGTGTAATACAGACTCTTTAATAGTCTCTATGGTGGATTTAAAAAAGCTGGTGCACCTGATTTTCAAACCACAAAAGGAGGAAATAGGTATTTAAATCTATCTAACTACTTCCACGCAGTCCCTTTGGCACTTCTTTAACATTCACATTCATTAGTTTGTGGGCATATGAGTGGCTTTATTCAGACTGTAAAGTGAAACTGGAGCAAACCGCCAAAGTGCAGTCAATCAGAGCGCTGCTTACAGCTCTTTTATGGGTTTATGAGAGATAAAAGATTTTATTATAAGACATAGACAGTGCACAGATGTCTCATTTTGTCACAAAGAACTGCTTTTACAGAATATCTTTGAGGAAAAACAAAATGTACTCATTTACAAAAAAGTTTGGGTCTCAGCTTTGTTTTATCCTAATTCTAATACAACACTAATACATTTACAATAATGTTTAGGTGTTTTTACTTGTCTTAATATATTTATTATCTTTGTGTTTTTTTTTTGTTTTTTTTCCAGCTCTGGAAACAATAAATTTTCAGAAGCTAAACCCAAAAGATATCAAATATCTGGATGACATACAGGTATGTTAAGTGTCATTTTTTGTCTGTTACATTAGTCAAATATGATAACACTGTCTCTGCTCATAGCAGCATAATAACTTTTTTCTCCCAGCCCAATAGGCCGAAGATGGTGATGGAGTTCTGGTCGGGCTGGTTTGATCTCTGGGGGGGTCTGCATCATGTGTTCCCTGCTGAGGGTAGGCAGCCACTCTATTTCTGCTGGAAACCAGTCAGGGTCAGGCAGTGCTTTAGTTATACACAGGGCAATGTCAAAAGTAATTCATTTTTACACTTGTAATCTAATACAAGATAATATGGATGAGCAATCATGGAGCAGCGAACACGTCATTCCTTTTTTCATTGTCCTTAAACTGCAAAAAAAAAAAGAAAAGAAAAGAAAATGTAAATAATATTTGTTTATAATTTATTAACCGTGTTTTACAAATAGCAAACTACTCTACTACTCCACTAACACTAATTATGTGCCCAATTGTGAAAATCAGGCTGTGCAGTTTGTCACAGTAGTTAGAAAAACTAACTAACTAAACTAAAATTCTCAGTTCTGAAGAGAACATGAAAGGAGACTCAGGGTGGATTCAGATCTGTGCTAGTTCAGTGCTTTGCAGACTGCCAGAGACTCTGCAACTGGTCACAGCGAGTGACCGTGAAGCTCATGAAACTTTGAACATAAATACTACTGTATAGACCCCTATAGTCCCTATAGACCAAGAACAGAAAGCCGTATTAACCCATTTAAATTGTAAAATATATGCTTATACCTGTCTAACCATCAAACTTCACAGTTGTTTTACTGTATTTCACTGTGTTCTTGATAGAAATGATGGCAGTTGTCACAGAAATGCTAAAAATGGATATGTCCATCAACCTGTACATGTTTCATGGAGGTACAAATTTTGGATTCATGAACGGAGCATTAGCTGTTGGACTACCATCACCAAAACCTATGATAACAAGCTATGGTAAGTTTAATCACATCTTTAATTACACATTAATAATATTAATGCTCCATTACCAGAAATGATAAAATATTTTTCTTTCCATCTTGAAGTTCAGTGCTTAACCTGTATAAGTTTTAAAATCCTATTAGCTTCTTCGAGGATGTTTCCTAACTCCACAAATCCATGTACATATGCAAATAACACCTCTGACTTTGGCCTTCCACCTTTACCTTCTTTTAAATGTTAACAAATGAGTGAAAAATAGTACAGTGAGCTTAATATTTTCCTTCAGGGTACTTAACATGTAATGACCTTCTATATAAAAGATGAGAATTTTAGAAGTGCTCAGGCCACCTCTTACCTTGAGCAGCCTTCATAGGTTTCTGGACTGTGCTGAGTGCATCTTAGCGCTATACTTTAAAAAGGCTACATTTTGTGTCAAGATAACCTGAATGTGTCTCGGTCCGCTGCGGCCTGGAGATGCGTGATAGGTGTGTGCTGTGAGCTCCGCTGCCTCGCTCCTTAGCCTGCACTTCTGATAGGACATTATCTTTCAGATTACGATGCTCCATTATCCGAGTCTGGGGATTACACCACCAAGTATCACCTTCTAAGAAATGTACTCAGCCACTACCACAGTGAGTGTTGTTGTTTGAGCATTATACTTGGACTACATTATTTATCAGAGTTGCAATGTATATTTCAAATCAAGATCAGAATAGAGCTGGGCAATGCCATAGATGTGAAATATATGTTTTAAAAGTAGAGTATACATTGTAAACAAATCCAGGAACATTAATAAGAACAAGAGATGTGAACTCATAAAATAATACATGAATCCCATTCATTAGAACATCTTTGTAAAGGTCTAAACTTCAGGTACAATAAGATAAAAATTAGATTTGATTGCAATATTTTTGTGTATCTTCTAATTCCTTTCATAAAGTTGAAGCACATGCAACTTTCTAATTCCAATTTCATTCTCATTGTGATTCCAATCCATTCGTAATTAATCTTGTCTGCCTAGTGCCTAATATTCACCCTTCTCACTTTTTACAAATGTTTTTCTCTAAAGGTTAATTCGCTAGCTACCTAGATGATTTTACATGATTATTACAGTTCCTGGATTTCAGTTGAGACTGCATTATGCATGTGAACGCACCCTGACAGTCCCTCAATCACCCCCACTGTGAAAATTACATGCTTGTCTTTTTATCAGGTTTATTCCTTGTCCATTTTGTGATTTGTAAAACAATGGTTTTGTGGTTAAGGCCAGAACACTAGTGTTTTGTGGCCAGGGGTAGAAATGTAGCTTTGGGCAATCTCATCTGGGACTGAGTCCAGCACAACAAAATAACAATTTTCTCAGAGAGGCACTGATTGAAGTTTGAAAAGCGGCCTGCATGATTCATCCTTATGCTCTGTAGTCTGCTAAACAACGTGCAGTGGCCCAGATATGAGAGTAACTTTGATAAGCTTTTCATTTCCTCATATTGTTTTCTATAATTAGATCTTACATAGATTACATTGCATTATAAATTTCATTACATTGCAATTTGGCATAGGTTTTATGATGTCCTTGCTGAACCAATTATTGATCAGAATAGGAACTGGCACGGAGAATAGACTCATTTGTGACCCAACTAATTGCCCATTGCCCTTTCAGAATCTCTCCTTGGGTTTCCGAATGATGGAAATTTAGCATCGTTGCCATAGCGATTAGCAATTCAAAAAGAAATATAATATCTGTTGAATTGGGAAAAAGCCCTCAAAATGTCTCACAGAACAGGAAGATGAAAGCTATGAACATCAAAATGAACATATAGTATAGCATAGTAGTGTAATTACAACTGTACAACTGTAATGTCTTTTTTAAGTGCAGGTTTGGACATTCAAAGATTTTTTAAGAGGATGTTAAGCGCTCACTTGGCGATAAGAGAATCTTGTCAAGCTTTTCCGCAGGGAGAGCCGGTGTCTGTACTAGCGCTAACACCTAAAAAAGCAGTCAGACAATCAGAGGAGGGCTGTTAACCATTATAAAGTGGAGTCTTGTAAAACTGTGGATCTGGGGACTTTTGGGAATCGGATGAAGTAGTGGGGATGAAAATGTCAGACTTTATCACAGAGATATCTATTAATTATTTTCCTAATATCTTGCAGCTCAGGACCTCCCTAAGATGCCGTCTGTGGATGAGAGAAAAGCATACCAGCCTATAGTCGTCCATCAGCATCAATCTCTCTGGGACAGTTTGCAGTTCATTGACAAGGTAATAGAGTTATCAGGATAGAGGACATTTTATGATGTAATTTTATAGCAGCTCAAAGCCCCAATGCTTTGTAAAAACTACCCAGACGTTATAAGAATGCTTGATATTATATTCAGGAAGTTAAGATCTGTGTTTTCTGTTATTTCTAGCAGCCTAGCAGAAGCCTTTGTTTTTCTTGGTTCTCAAACTGTGATTCACAAGTGGTGCCAAAATGTTCTACAAAAACGGCTTTGAATGATAAACTTGAAGACCTGACAATTGGGCTCAATCACAAAGTGTTGGTGTGATTGTGTCTAATGTTACATAATTGTTTAATCAAGACATTGAGAAACAACTATACCAATCAGGCGTGACACTGTAATCGCTAACAAAAGGGGATTCAGCATGGCACCTGCTATTCGTTACTGATAGTTTGAGTTGCAAGGAAGATTTTGATCTCAAAGTTAGGAAGCAAATTAGTATGGCAAGTCGACTGTTCAGAGGATCTATAATAACAATAGTAATGCATTAGTTGATAGTATTTTCCAGATGGTTAAAATCACTTGGTAAGCTACTTCTGTTCAGCTGCCCTGGGGTAGACTGACAGAAGAGTCTCTACAAACCCTCTTTGCTAAACTTGCTAAATTAATTTATTTTTATGCTATATTTTATTCAATGTGTTTATTTATATTGTATCTACTCTGTGCACACTACTTTCCTAAAATGTGCTATACAAATAAAGTTGGATTGGATTGTCTGTTTTTTGCAGCCTTTTAAGTCTGAAAAGCCCATCAACATGGAGAATCTACCAGTGAACAACCACAATGGACAGTCCTACGGATACACTTTGTATGAAACCACCATTCACTCTGGGGGAACCCTTAACTCCAACAACCACATCCGAGATCGAGCTTTGGTGAGGAAAAACTTTCAGTACTTTTTCTGAATCACACGTTTGATTTTTGTTCAGAACATTGCACTTTATCCCTCTGAGGCGGCAGTAGATTTCTTTTGTCAAAAGTAGCACCACGGATCTGTGCTGATTGCGTGGCTTGTTAATAGTGTCAGGCTGTGACTTTTACACTAATCTTGGAGATGTGTTGCAGTAATGTGTCATTTTTCATAGGTTTTTGTCGACAAAGATTTTGTTGGTGTTCTGGATTATAATGTCTTGGAACTCGTGTTACCAGATGGAAAGGTATATATTTATTTTGTAAAATATACACTACCAGTCAAAAGTTTGGACTCACTTTATGTTTACCACTTTCTACATATATCTACATTTATATACACACAGAATGCATCAAATATACTAGTGTGAAGCCAGATATATGCAATTATGTAGTAAAGCAAAAAAGAGTGAAATAAAGCAGCAAATTTTTTTTTTATATTTTATATTCAAATTTTCTTTGCTTTGTTGACCAAGCTGCAAAACCCTTGGCCTTCCTTCAGTGAGCTTCTTGATTAATTCACATGAAATAGTTTTCACTTCACAGCTGTACTTTGTCTGGGTCAAGAAATGCCAAAAGCACAAACCAAGGTTCAAAGCAATGTGGATATTTAATTTTAAATTATATTTTTTTTTATTTCATTTTATTTTCTCTTGCGTTATTTTGTGTTTATTTGTTGTTTGGTACATTTCATATGTGCCATTCATAGTTTGATGCCTTGAGTGAGAATCTGCAATACACGTAACCAGGGAAAGAAATTTTTTATTGGTAGTGTAGTTTGTTAATGATTTAGTGTACTGCATAGCACTGTATCATTATGTTTAGTAGTGTACGATATTTTAAATGCCTTGCCATTAAGACCAAGTTACAGATCAGCTCTGTGCCCACAATTACACAGAATGAATGTTTAGTAGGTAGTTTTAGATTACATAAAACATAATTGGAAAAAAAGATAGAAAAGTTTATGCAGTACCAGGGAACATTTCAGGCAAATCATCTCTATTGAAAAAGGAAAAGTTACATAGTGTATCATTAAGCAGTAAAAAGGGAAGGGTATGTTTAATTTTATAAACCTTAAATAAACTCACATAATGATTCATGATTTTAACTTTTTTTTCTGATCCATACACTCTATAGGGAAAAAGAACATTGAGCTTTTTGGTGGAAAATACTGGCAGAGTGAATTATGGAACAACTCTGGATGAACAACGAAAAGGTACAATTTAAATTTGACTTTAAATACATATTAAATAAACATGTTTTCTTTTGTTCCAGGTATTGTCGGGGACATTGAGTTAAACAAGCAGCCTTTGCGAGATTTCCTTATTTATAGTTTGGAAATGAAGCCCGCCTTTGTAAACAAGTTAGTGTTTAAGTATTATCCTCTGGTAATTCACTGTCATTACATCTCCCACCTTTTCCTTCCTGTTGCTGATTACAAAGCTGCTTCTAACCAAATATAATAACAAAAGAAAATGTCACCTTTAATGCAAGGTTTATTCAAGTTACACCCATTGTGTCTTTTAAATGGTTTAATTTAATTATTGAAAACTACATATATGGCATGTTGCATCTTTAAAGGGCCCATATTACACTATTTTCTGATCTCTGTTATAATGTTGTTTCCTCATCAGAAAACACTCTGTTCCACCTTGTGATGTCATGTGGTAATACAAGAAGTGCTCTACTGTTTTGTTTTTTTTAACTCCATATGCCTTCACTAAATAATTATTTCACCCCTGGAATTGACCATCTCTTTTGAACTAAATGTAAAATGTAGATTTTAACTGGACAACTACCACTACATAACATCGCAAGGTGGAACAGAGCATTTTGAGCTTTGGAGAAGTAGACAGATGAATAATAAATAATAAAGGATTAAACATGTGTGAATGAAACAAAACATATCTCCAGATATGTATTTGATGATTTAACAGCACTATAACATGTTTAAAACAAACAAGAGTCACTTTTGTGTAATATAGGACCTTTAATGTTTCACAGTATAGAGAGTAGTTTTAAGAAAAAGGCAGAGAAGGATTGGCTGGACTGTGAAATGGTTAGAGAAAGGGACAGCTCAGAGAAAATGTTACAGAAATAAAGTTTAACTAACAGAGGTTTTGGAAGCAAAGTAGTGAATTAAGTGCTAAAAGAACATTGAGGTCTGAGCCCCCCGGGTCAAAACCAAGAGTAAATTTAAGGTTTTCTGTGAACGAAGTTAGATGTTAAGTACAGAGAGAATGGTAGATTTGGCAATTGATTGCTATGGCAACCTCTGAAAGGAAAAAGGTGCATGGACAACCAATCAAACTAATGCTTAATTAATGGGAGCGACAGTAGCTCATTTGGAAGTGTTTGTCCACTGATCTGAAGGTTAGCAGTGTGATCTCAGCTCCCACAGATGAATGCTGTCATTGTGTCCTTGGACAGGACACTTAACTTGCCTTCTCCCCAGTGTCTGCCTACACTGCTGTATGAATGTGTGTGTGAATGGGTGAATGGGTGAGTGGGCGAGTGTGCGAGTGCCATAAAAAGTGCTATGTAAATATGTGACTATATACCATTTAATACATGTACATGTACATGACTATAGTTACTCAGTTTTCCTGCTTTGATGCTTCTTACATCATTTATGACAATTTCAGCTAAAATTGTCTAAGAAAATTGTCGAATATCAGTGCTTATTTGTCCTTGTTTTGCCAGATTGCAAACTTCAGGCCACTGGCTCCCTATGAAACAGAGACCATCTTTTCCTGGGTTTTTCCAAACCAAACTGTACATAAAAAGGGATCCTAAAGATACCTTTCTTAAACTTCCTGTAAGCTGGAAAATATAATGATACTTTTGTGTTTCATACTTGTATTTAGTAATAGACTCTCCAGAACTAACTAAAAAGCTCTGTGTGTTTATTTGAATGTTTTGTTTAGGGCTGGGGAAAAGGTGTCGTCTTTGTCAATGGAAGAAATCTGGGACGGTACTATTCAGTCGGTCCACAGCAGACTTTATATCTGCCGGCCCCCTGGCTCAACAGAGGAGATAACCAGGTACGTGTTTGTTATGTGAACATCAGAGATTGACGGATATGGGTTTTTTCGTGGCCGATGCCGTTTGTTTCCAGAATCATCTGTCCAGAATGATGGCTGATATGCTCTGTTGATCTTGAGCCAATATTCAATAGATTTTTTTTTCCCCGCCAAATTATGTAATTTTAATTTACTATAAACTCACCCATTGCCCTTTTCCACCACAAACCCATAAGAGAGCTGTGTAGTCATGTTTTCAGGAGTTATCTATTTGCACTTATGTGTTCAAATAAATCTTTATGTGTATTTTTAGGCTGCAGGTTTCCTATAACAAAATAATCAGCCTTTGCTGGAGATTTCAGGCCAATAGCTGATACGCTAGAAAGTCCAAATATCAGCCAATCCATATATCGGTCTATTTCTAGTGTGTGATATGGTGTGAGTGTATGTATGTCAGACAATGGACAGTGTGAATTGTTGACTGTAATTGTATTTTATAATTTACTCTGTAAATAAGGGACTTTAGGTGAAAACTAAATGTTTGGAGATGATCTGGTGCGGAACATCTGTGCTTTTATGAGCTTAATGTGTCTGTACATTGTCCCTTGAAATAAAGACTAAACTGAACTAACCTAATAGACATACACATACATTTGCATGGGTTTCAGAATGACGAAAAATAAAGACTGTTGCTTGTACATTAATGGTACAAGCACATAACTGGATCTGAGCCTGCTTTTTACTGCTAATGGATGTAACTGAACATTGCGCTAAAATGTATTGTGAGTCCATCCATGTTATTTTATCTCTGACAGTTGATGATTTTCGAAGAGCAAGAATCCGATGGTAAGATCCAGTTCACCCCCAGCCCTGACTACGGCATGACTGTGGATGTCCAGTGAACTGAGCCAGCACTAGAGCGACTATGGAGAGACTAATCAAAATATGTCTTAAGGGTACTATATCTAATTTGCTTCTTTTTTCTTATGCCTAAAAATGACAAACAACAACTTAATTTAATGATACTTTTTAAGTCCACATTGGAAGTATGTCTTTTGGTCTATATAAAATGTTTGTAAACATTGTGAATTTTAGTTCTGAATAATTCATGTTTGTAATTCTTGTTTGTGAGATGATTCCAGGTTTGTAATGTTGTGATTATTTCTATGCTCAGACCATTTGCATATGCCTGTGTGCCTATCTTTCTATCTAAATATGCATTTGAGACTGTAAACTACCTTTTGTAAATTTAATATGAGAGTTTATTGTTGTGTTGTAATAACATTGAGCCAGGGCAAACCCAACCTTATTCCCATGGGAAGAGGGATAGGCTTCTGTTTCTGCAATACTAAAATAACTGTGAAATTCAAAGAAAAAGTTGAATTAACAAATCTTTACTTTGAAAAACGGAACTTGACGCATTTTTTCTTCAGAGTTGTTTATTTTCTGATTGAACTAACATCTTTCTCTGAGACTGAACTGCTGTGGCAAAGAAACACCTGTAAGAGTCACATGCATAAAGTGTGAACTGATGATGCAGAAATGACAGTGGTGAGAATGGAAACAGAGGACTTGTATGTAAAGTGTATTGTGCCATAAAGAAGCCCTCACAAGGAAACACTTTAACTGACAGTAAATACTGAACAACCTGCACCGTCTAAGCTCATTCTTTCTATTATTAGACCAGTTTGGAGTAAGAACTATTGCTTGATACATTGGTTAATAATAAAGAAAAACTCAATGCTATAGATAGAAGTTGTAGCATCAATTGAAGCCCTTTGTGAATGCTTGCTTGATTGACCTTAAAGGTGCACTGCGTAACTTTTCTGTTTCTATTAGTGGAAAGATCTACAGTGGCATATTAAATTAAACTCCATGGAAACAAGCAAGTGACGCCACCAGACCAAGTTATAGGTCAGCCCCGTTCACAATTAGATTGTTTTGGTTTTTTCCCCATTGTATTTTTGAGCAATAAAAACACCTGTAATTTAATAAATGCAAGATTGACAAGTTTAATGCAAAACTGTGCAACATCCCAGACAAAGCAATCTCCAAGATCTCCATGGAAACAAGCAGGTGATGAACCCTCTATCAGAAAAGTTACATAGCGCACCTTTATATTTAAAATGCCACACAGATAGATCACAGAATATAAGTATTTCCTGCTGATGTGAAAGCTGCATTCTTCAGTGTTTGGCCAAGAGCGATTTTTAACATTACGTGGGCAGTCGCTTTATAACACAACAAAAGTGCACAATATTCTCATTCAGGAACAAAGCCAATGCACATTAATACATAGCTCCAAACAATATAAGACATTGATCAATATTATTATCAGAACACAAGCCTATGAGCAAATTTATCATAACATTTATCAAATTTTCACTATTTGTATAATTCTTAACTGATTTGAATACATAATCATTTTAAATTAATCAATAGTATGTCTCCAATTATAATGCAGCAATTCATTAACGTTTGTGCAAAGATAGACAACAGCAGTGGTATGACAAAGACACTTGACAGCCTGCCTGTTGTAAAATTACATTGGGCATAGTCTAAATTAAGCAATGTTTATATTTGCTCATGCTGTTTCAGAGGGCTGCCAGTAAACACAGACTTGATTAAATTGCACATCCACGTTTGATAAATAAATAAATACAATAAACGAGATTTTTAATAAATAAGGGGAGGCAAGTTGTAGTACATTCTTAAAATAAGTTGACTGAACTGTTTAGTCAAAGTAGGGGACAGACAGTAGACTCCAATCTGTCTAAGGTCCTATATTACACAAACTTGACTCTTGAAAACTTTAAACCATGTTATAATGTTGTTATCGCATCAAAAACATGCCTAGAGTTGTGTTTTGTTTCGTTTGAGTATTATTATTAGTCTGTCTACATCTCCAAAGCTCAAAATGTGATAGTTTACAAGTTAAAATCTACCGTTTTACCTTTTGTTCAGTAGAGGCAAGCAATTCTAAAGCTGAAATTATCAAAAAAAATTCCAGTGAAGGTGTATAGAGTCCTAAAACACAGTGGAACACTTCCTGTATTGCCACATGACATCACAAGGTGGATCAGCCTAAATACAGGGTTTGTGTGTTATAAAACAAAACACAACCTGGGTATGTTTTTGATAAGGAAACAACATTATAACATAGATCAGAAAATAGCATAATATAGGCTCTTTAAATTGTGGTCATACTTAATTATAATATATTTTATGTGCTAGTATTTCGGGGAAAAGTGGGCACATAATTTGGCAACCGTACCGTAAGGTAAATGTTTGTATTCTCTGCAGCTTCTTTGCTATAATGTAAGATAAGCCCTACCCCTGTGTATTGCACGATAGATATCAACTTGCCTAGATCCTATTAACTGCAGAGGATATCTGTGTTACAGTGTTAGCTATATGCAGTGCTGTGGCTACATCTGTCTGAAATCTTGCTTCCCTTCGAGACAACTAAACATAGATACAACACAACCGTGGGAGTTTTATCGGCCTCAATCCACAATGTAGAACAAAATGTATTACTGTTATGGTCTGCAAAAATAAGACATCGATTGTGCTTTTTCAATAGGATGAAGTTGCAGCAAGGTGTACGATGTAAAAAGTACAATATTTCTGGGGTCATGCAACAAAACTTTCATAGTGAATAATATTATGATATGTAAGTGTTCCTCAACTTATTGCAGTGTAGATTTTAGTGTAAATGTAATTATGTAGAGCTACTTTAATTCATTTGTTTCCAGTGGCTATGCACAAACCAGCCTTACATTATGACCATGAACATTTTGCATGATATACAGCTCTAACTGCAAAAAACTAAAATACACAGTACAGTGAAGAATACTTTGAAAATGTATTTAGCACTGAGTACCTGCATTAAAATGTATTTTGTAAAGTACTCCGTTACATGGTCCAATCAGAGTATAGTATTCTGAATAGCTAGAATTCTTTTACATCGAGTTGCATTTACATTATAGTGTAAGAATGCAACATTGGATTAAAAACAGCTTAATATTTGTTTCACGGTTTGTTATGTATTTCCTATCACTAACCTGAGAAGGAGGAATTACACGTGCAGTCATCACAAGAGCAGCGTTTGAAGCCTAAATTGTGTGATCAAGTAGTGCCAAGTATTCTTTTGATTTTTGAAGAGTAACTGTTCTGAATACCACCAACGAATAAGTAACTCTACCGGAATACAGGTACTCAAAATTAGTGTTCAGAACATGTTTTCTTGGTACATGTATTCAGTTCCTTCACAACTGTGATTGTGTATATGAGCTATTTAAGATGATAAGATCCCTTGTTGGAATGAACCACCAATCATGCTTCATCTTTGTCTGGTTTATCGCTGTTTCTTTGGCGACTAGATCTCGACTTAAAGAGGCTCTGACCCACTTACACCATTTATACCATATGGACAAAGTGTTATTCACAAACCCCACCAACAAACAGCTGTCATAGTAAAGGGGTCATTTGCGTCATTCTATAGGCTCTTTTAACATTATGTCATAACATTTCTATTTGAGGTGGAGGGCAGTCAAGATGTGTATTTTAGAATACGCCATAATGCAGATGTTTTGAATTTGGCCTGGTTTACGCTAAATGTATCTGGACAATCACCCAAGCATGACTGTTGCCATTTGCAAATAGTTCAAGACATAAGATTCTATAGAAGTTTGTGCACCAAATCTGCTTCAATGTTTGTGAATTTTAAGATAACTATTTAAGTACATTTAAAAAGTGAACATAGCTGATAATGTAGAGGTGGTCATAATGATATGGCTGATCTGTGTATATTACTGTGCATAGACCTACTATAGTGTTACCTAAGCTGCCATGTTGTTTTTAATGTTTTGTGACAATGCCATAACTTCTATATCACCATACAATGTGAAGGGCTTCTGTGCTATATTACTCTCTCATTGTTGGCTAAACCTGTGCATCGCTGTGAGGACTTTAGCTACTTCTGAACATGTAAATACAATAATTACACCACTAGTTCCTTTGATTGTTCTTGAGTTGACTCACTATTTACACATGTTGCCACATTCGTGATAAGTGCTGAGACAATATAACAGTATTTTTAAATGTGTTTCACTTTCGAGCAACAGTCTATGAACTTGAAAGGGCGGCTTGAATGCAATGAAATCTAACAATGAGCTTCAAATGAACAATGGCGATAAAAACCCAAGGATGCAAGAAAAGTAGTCAGTAGTATTTGAACTAGAGAGTCAAGTGCCCGCAAAACACTCAAACCAATTAAATACATTTTATCAAAAAAACATTCCTTCCTTTTTGCTGAAACATTTTGTTTTATGTCCTCAGTTCTCTGGAGTGTGCAGATCCAAACATTAATTTGAAATTTCAGTTTTTAGTTTTCTTTTCTTCAGGACATTGAATGTCTTCTCAAATACTTCTTTTGTGCTGTCTTTTTGTAACATTAATTCCAGTGATTTCCAGGTTGTGGGTCTCCATCTTCCAATCTGTGCTTTAGTAAGATGCAATTAAAAGGTTTTTTTTTGTTTTTTGTTTTTTCAAACAGTTTTTAAATTCAGAAAAAGAAAATCTCCCATTCACAGTCATGTCTGTTTTTTAAGTCCTCCAATCATTAAGACGCTGGTTGCACTTATCAAGAGGCTGGGATGGTTTTCCTCTCTTCTGCAGGTCCAAGGCCAACTACCTGCGATAAAGAGGATTAAGATGTAATCAGAAAAACCATCAGGCGTTCATTTAGGTTCATTAAAGCTGTTTATGGCTGACATTTAAAAATCACATGCAGCTGTGATTGTGAATGGAACGAATATGAAGAATTATTATAGTGGGAATGACAAACACCTGCGTCCTGAGAGGGACCAGGTTAATGCATCATTATTTCTCTCATCATTAAATACTGTTGTAGTAAAATACACACTGTGGGAGGCATTACTTACTATCTATTTATAAACAATAATAATTAATGTGACAAATTTATAAGGTGATAAAAGTATGTTAATATAGATCAGGGGTGGGCAATTATTTCTTCTTATTTCCATGGGGCCACATGGGAAACAGAAAATATTGTAGAGGGCCGGCCCAAAATGCTTAACTCAGATCTGCATAATATTAATTGTATGTCTTTAAAATTATAAAATATGTTTATTTTGCAATTCCAAATTAGCTTAAACGGGCCAGTCAGAATCAACCGAAGGGCTGTATGTGGCTTGGGAACTGTACAATACCCAGGTCTGAAATAGATGATACAAGAATGCTTTGTCAGCTCATTTTGAAATAATTTTGGAATAAAACATTGTTAACTGGAAAATATGGTTCTGTACAAAAGACTTTACTGCATAAAACATTTCAGCAGAATCAGTATTTATGCAATACAAACAAGTAATACATTTCCTAAAGATGCACTATGTAATTTTTCTAGTGGAGAGTCTGCCACCTGCTCCATCTCCATGGAGATGTTATTGCTTTGCCTGGAATGTTCCACAGTATGGCTTATTTCTCTCCATGTAAACAAGCAGGTGATACCACCTGGCCAGGATCAGATCTGTAGAGGGACGACCCCAGTCACAGTACAAAATGAATGCATGTTCTTTTAACTTTAAAAACAATTATAAAAACAATACAAGTTTAATTGTAATGACAAGTAGGGCCGCTCACTAAAAAAGTTACATAGTGCACCTTTAATTTACTGAATGTGATAGCAGTAGTAGTAGAAGTAGTAGTAGTAGTAGTAGTAGTAGTAACAGCGGCATCTCTCATAGAACCCACCTTTGTTGCAGTTGTTTGTTGTACTTACCTTATATTCTTGTGACGTGTTCAGATCTCCACATTGGGGTCTGTGAATCCTTTCTTCCCCTCGTTTACAAGGACGGGCTTTTCGGTTCGTGTGTGCCAAACGAGGATCTGGAGGTAAAACACACACAGAAAAGGCAGGCAGGAACATTAGTAACATGCTGTTCTTATTTTGCTGCTTTTAGCTCCCACTCGGCCCCCTGTTCTTCAAAACATGTATTTCCTGTAGCATCTCGGTGTAAAGAGCCACTTGAGCGTGAAACCTGCATTAGGGAGTGAAGAGGGTCTACAACACTGTGTTATCTTACAAATATGATCCAGTCCACTCAGCACGGCTCTGCTCCTCTCATGGTTATAGGATAATGGCTGCCCTCAGGTGTGGCGCTGGTAAAAGCAACATATTTACTAATTAAATCAACGCAACGTGACATCTCCTAAAATAACCCTAGAATCCTCAAATTACTGCAGTGGTGAGGCAGCAGACTTGTGACTCAAGAAAACAGGGCCATGTACAAATTGGGCTTCAGCTCAAATAACCACAATACACTTCATTATCATTTGTTGTGAATTTAAGGTTAGGGTAACGTACACTTCATTTTCCTCTGCATTTGATCCACCATTTTAATGTCGCTAGGACAACCTGCTAGTGGGCACCACAGGTTAGGTTAGGCCAGGCTACCTTAGGTGTAGGATTTTACCTCTTAAACATTTTGTGTATTGATGGGGAAAACCATAGTACCTGGAGGAAACCCATCCAGACATGAGAAAACATACAAAACTCTGCAGAAAGGACCAGCCATCTAGAACGCTGTAAACAGTGTATGCAACTCTCAAACATATCATGTTTTAGTTGAAGTTAAAATAAAACTACCATAATTTGTCTAACAAGATTACAGTATATATGCATTAGATAGGTAAGCTCAACACGAAGAGTGAGGCCCAGAGGGAAAGTTAGATTTTCAACATAATTAGAGATGCACTCATTCAGCTTTTTCAGTCCAAATGTGGAGTTCAGCTCATATAAGAGATGAAACATCACTTGAAGTCCACTTCAACACAAACAACAATGTACTGAAAAGGACATTTTAAAACACATTTTTGTATTTTTCTTCACCTCAACTCGTGACAGCTGGCTCATTCCCTGTTCTCCGGTGCATCTCTTGTCTGCTTTCTACACTATCAGTGAGACAGTGCAGTTCTTCTACAGAGAGCCTTTAGACTTGAGATTGATTTGGCTCTGGAGACCGGACAAACACCAGTGAAATGATGGCGGGGTGAATGAGAGAGGAAGGAGAGGAAAAAAGGTGTCAGGCTCATTTTGCTCTGCTCTGTTCCCCGTTAGAAGCCACTTCCCTTTCATCTCACCGTGGCGGCCCAACATGAATTATGCATGGCCCGTGTGTTTGAAATGTGCCAGGAGCCCACTCCCACTTTGCGCAGGTGCAAGGGGGGAGGTTAATAGTCATGCTTGCATGTGAAGTGGCAGATTATAAGGAGAAGAGATGCCAGCACACGACTATCCATTTTTTTGCCTTTGTGTCTCTCCTTGAGCTCATCTGTAATCAGCGTGATGTCCCTACCTCCCGACTCCAATTCGGCATCTTGAATCCTCTCTTTTCATTTAGCACGCTCAATAGCTTTGGGGAACAGGAGGAGAACAAGCTGGACCAATGTCGTCCACTGGCTCTGTCTCGTATGACTTTGTGAAGTGTATGCACTGTGCGGTGGATAGTGCTGCCTGACTCCTCCTGGCCCATAGAGGGGTTTAGAGAGCTGACCCAAACAATGACCCAGACCCCAGCTGGAGCAGTGAGCACAAATGGAAAAATGATGCTACTCGAGCTACCCACAAAACATCAGTGCTATGTGTGCAGGTGGCATTACCACTTTTAAGCAGACTTTTTAGCAACAAATGAAATGGCTTTAATTTCACAAAATATAGTAATATATTCAGAGTAATATAAACCGATATCCTGATCAAGATAATGTATACTAATGCATTTTTTCTTATACTATCTAATAATGATTTCTCACTTTAGCACATTTTATTTATTTTTTATTTTTTTCACCTGCTGTTTTTTTTTGTTTTGTTTTCTGCTGTCACTGTGTTACTTTTAGCATTAAAAAAAAGTATGAAAGTCTCTTTATTTGGCAACATTTCCAACCTCTAAGTGTACAATTGTTCCTCATGGATTTTGCGAATATTGTTCTGAAATTGTGCCAAAACATCACTGAATCACTGATTCATTTTAAGACATGGGACTAACCATGTCTTAAATGATTAAGCCAATTTACCTTAGTGCAATTGGCTGCTTTGGGCTCCAGGTCGTTGAGCGTGACCAGCTCACGCAGTAGGCTGCTCTCCTGGTACCCCCCCTTCACACCCCTCAGTTTGAAGTAGGCCTGGGGCTTGAACAGGATGAGGCGCAGGTTGATGGCAAAGCCGGCCATGTCAATTGCAAAGGGTCGGTGAGGGTCGAACACGGTCTTCCAGCCATACACTTTCCCTGCGGCGTTCACTTTGGGAGACTCGTACCTCAGCCCGCCCACAAAGGCTACGGGCCACACTGAGACTTTACGAGTGGATCTCATCTGCAGAAAGAATATAGTACACAATTAAGCAGGATCTTAATTAAGCGACCTGTAGGATATGCATAGTTAATGTTCATGTATTCAGTTTGTGGTCAGTAGTGCTTGGTCTGCTGAGTCCTTTGCTAAGAGTGTTTTGATGTGATTTTTATGGTGTATTTAGACCACAAGTAGAATATGGTAACCACATCCTCTAGTCTGCCCAAGAGCAGCTACATATGTGCAGAGATTTTATTGTTAAAATCTGAGTATGAAGTGACGTAATGGACCCATGTTCAGTGCTTTGTGGATCGGAGGCTTGGCAAACATGAAAATAATCAGAACCATTCACAGACTTGACAATACCCCCCTCAGTATTGATTACTACTACCACTTTCCTCTGAGGTTCTCTTGTTGGAATGGTTTTTGAGAATATTCTCAGTTCCCTAATGCATTTTAGAAAGATAGAACGTACATTAGAAATACTTATAAAGTTGTCAAAAAAGTACTACTACTACTAAGTACGTACACTAAAGCAAGTTTTAAGGACCTGATCCATTAGTGCACTGTAGGTATCTATACCGGCATAGTGCCCCTGATGTGAATATGGTACTTCACGGCAGTACGTTCTACTTTTCACATTATACTAGTCCTTTAATCTGGAGGCATCAAACAGCCCTGCCGCCCTTTTCATTTTCCAGTTTCTTATGTGTGCTCTGTTTGAACCAGCGCTGGAGCAGTAATAAAAGGTGTGCTCCTAATGAAGAGAAGGAGGGCCACAGTACAAGAGGCTGAGTCATTCAATCAGAGGTGGAGAGAGACACTACCACTATGTAATATTCGGTGTATACTTTGAGCAGAACATAGCCGGAGCAGTTGTATTGGACTGCAGTGTGATGTAATGAGTTGCTGTGTGGTCAGTTTTAGGGATCACTGCAGTGAAGTGGAGTTTAAAGAGGGCTTATGGGAATCTGGGGCTTTAGGCTTAAGAGAAAACAACTGCACCAGAAAGCTAGATACAGAACAAACTGGACCAGATAAGCTTCTGGTATAAAGCCTACAAAAATAAATCCTATTCTGTATGTTTAAAATGAACTTCAGAAGTGATGTGACCAAACAGCAACAATGTCCTTGTTTTGCAAAACTGAATGACTGATTGATTAATTACAACTGTATAATTTCAATAAATGAATATGTCACAGCTTAATTGATATTTTGAATAATTAGTTTGTTTTTAATGGTAAAGGTGAAAATCATGGTAAAACTAATTTAAATCCAAAAACAACGTTTTAACATGTTTTATAAGTTTAATTTTCATTTCTGACCATCTGTTCCCTCTACCTTTGTTTTTCGTGCTAAGTCACTCCCCCTTCAGAGCATGATCACATTACAATCAGCGCACATCCTGTTAATGAAACTAGAAATCAGGTTTGTCAAGTTATTGTATACAGTTTTGTATCATGCTTTTTATGAAATCGTGTGGGAGGATGGAAGACACAGGCTTGGGGGTGGAGCCTTGTACAGAATCTTACAGCTAACTGTAAGGTGTAGGTAGTGAATAGGGCCAGAGAGAAATTACTGAAACATATATCAATGACATCTAACACCTCTTCAGGCATGTTTTTTGATAAAACATGGTAGATAGATTATATATATATATATATATATATATATATATATATATATATATATATATATATATATATATATATGCCTCCTTGCTGACAAAAATATATAGTTGAAAACATTGCTTAATAAACACTATTATTGCCCTATATTTGACAGTTTCAGATTCCTGTTTATAGGTGTTATTTTGAGTCACTTTTCATCATTCAAAAGATATTCTGTTTTGAATTGTTAATTGCTATGGCAACTGTGCTAATTTCTCATCACTCTGAAACCCATTGGTACAAAACATTATTCAATTTCCTTTCAGCTGAGATACAGCAATTATGTAGGACTGTAGCATCTCACACACACAGACACTGTTGTGGTCCTATATTATTATGGTTTCTCTCCTTTTTAATTCTTAATCTCTTTCTTCCTCTTTCTCTCTCTTACTCTCTCTCTCTCTCTCTCTCTCTCTCCCCCCTGCCTGTTTCTTTCTCTCTCTTCATCTCTACTTACCAAGTCCTCCTCTCCTCATCTGTCTGGCTCTCTCTATCTTCTTTCTCTTCACTTTTTACACTCTCTCCTCTCTCTCCTCTCGGTTTCTCTATTGCTCTCATTTGCAGTCACAGCTCCAGCCCATAAACATTGCTGCAGCAGTGATGGAGGGCTCCGGGGGGAGACTGGGCACTCGGGCTGATTCCCACAGAAAGGTAATGACAGGCCCCGTCAATACCGTCGCTCCATTTACTCTGGCCAACGTCTGCCGCGCTAACAAGACTGGAGGCTAACGCGCACAGCACCCCGAGCGTGTCCACTCAGGTAATTCAGCTGGTGTCAAGATGGATGGCCTGAGATGGACTCATTACATGCCCAAACTTCACTCCACTACTCTCCTCACATCTCCGACTGCAGTGTGATTGTTAAGGTCTTAAACAAATGCTTCATGCACCAGGACAGTGGATTTATGGATATGTGCTGACTGTCAGTACAAGATAGAAAACTGATGTCAGTGCATATAAAAATGTAAACTGCACTGTTTGTCAGATCTGAGTAAAAAACACTTAATGTGTCCTTTAAATACCATTCTGTTCTGATAGTTTTATTGTCCTTGCTGGGAATTGGATCTCTCTATGTGATTAATCCTTTCACCCTTCTTCAAGTGTTTGGTTTGACAGAGAATCTGGATTAAAAAACCTTAGTCTATGGTGCCTATTTCAGAGAGTTTTTTAATTTTTTTGTTTTTTTTTAAATAAAACAACCCTGCCCTCAATCCCCTAGCCCAAACACATCAGAGACTCATCTGCACTCACCATCTTCAAAAAAGCCCTGAAAACCTAAACTGCCTTCAAATAACTATCTCCTTTTTTATGTGTTTCTTTCATTTGTGTTTTGTCTGTCTTGATCTGTTTGAAGAGTCTTTGTGTGTCACAAAAAGTGCTATACAAGTGTTACATATTATAATGATTAACCCAGTGAATGCATACATACTGGCCATAGCAGGAGTAAAACAGCGCTAAATCAAAAAGTACTAAAAGAACATGCCATTATCTTTTTACAGTGACACAGAATTAAGAGAATACATTAACTCTTGCATCACAAAAACAATTTAAGAGTAATTATATTTGATTGAGCATTTAAAATGCAATAGCTGAAAGCATAACCGACTCAGTGACTTGATGTATTCATTTATATTGTTCAATCTTCAAGATGAGTTCATTTGTCTTCCAGTTTATTATCCTAATTGGTTGGATTAAGTTGATCTTATAGGCAACCTATGCACTTTAGAGGGATTCATTTAGTGCAATTCATTACATTTTAACTGAGATCAAGAGTAATTTAGTTTTAGTAATAGTCATTTCTAATCATTAATGATAATCTTGGGTCTTTACAATTGAGAATTCTACAGCCAATCATCTGTCAGTAAAAGAATGTGATTTGGAGCATATCTTGTGTTAAATAGAAATTATTAAAAGTCTGTATATTCAGGAAATTACCTTTGAAAGCAATATGTATTAGTTTAAACCCAAATTAAACTAAGAAAAATCATGATCATCGTCATATTGCTTTTTGACTTTTTGAAGCTTTCTACCATGCGCCCTCATCAAAAACTTGCCTGAAGAGGTTTTAGATGCCATCCATGCATGTTTCAGTAATGTAGTGATCTCTTTTGAGCCCTGCTCGAACCCTCCGTAAAGAGATAACTGTAAAATTATGTGCAATGCTCCACCCATAAGCCTACATCACCGTACAAAAGCATGATACAAAACAATATACTACAGCTTTACAAACCTGATGCAATTTGCAGTAGTTTTATTAGCAGAACATACACCAATTGTAATGTGATAGCGCTCTGAAGGGGGCTTGACTTTTGACGAAAGTGAAACATATTAATACATTGTTTTCTGCAAATTTAGTATTTCAAAACAATAAAAGGTAACATGGTGATCTAAATATATTATATGTTAGCAATTAATACCCCATAGAAGTGTAATAGCCTCTCTTTAAAAAAAAAAAAATAAAAATCTTCTTACCTCTTCGAACAGCTCCAGACTGTATGTATTGTCATCATCTGCGAAGTACACTATCCCCGCCTGGCTGCTGTTTGCATTGAAGGTCTCCCTTAACCAGCGCAGTGCCAGGTTCCTCTGCATGGTGCCCCGCGGGATTCTGGGATCTCGCGTGTCACCCCTGAGCTTATAGTTCCTGGGCGTCTCCACATTGAGATGGGTGTAATTCAACCCGGTCTCCCTGAGGAGTCTTGTAACAAGAGGGGTCCTCCTTTGGGAGTCCTCCACCAGAATCCAGTGGAGGTTGGGAACATGGAGAAAAGTGTTAGCTAGCCGCGTTAGCTCTGCCTTCTGCACCGGTCGGCTGTACGTCGGGGTGATGATATGAATGGTAGGTAGCACATCGGACCACGGTGGCGGTCTTGTGTATACGTATTCTGTCCGCACCACCTCTACAATGTCCTTATCCGAGGCACAATATTCCTTGGAGTCTTGACCCAGTCCGGCAGGGTCCCTCTTGCCCTCCACACCGTCATCTGTAGATATGGGAGATAGGAAATGACATGTAAGGCATTAGCTTAACCTTGAACTGGTCTTTGTGACTTCTTTGTACCTGAGAGCCGGTGGTGGCGTACTGCGAGCTTCTCTGGTATGATAAAGATCTCTTTTACTAGGTGGTGACAGGCTGCAAAAGTGAAGGCAAGGCAGGCCATGAGCGGATAACAGCTGATGGACAGAGAGACAGCGCTCAAGACAGCACTGGTGAAAGAGGAGAGGTCCCCCAGTGTTGCGTTTGGGTGCTGACGTTTGGTGATAAAAATGTGGGCGATGTATGTTTCAATGTACAATACACGCATTGGTTTAAGACACAGATTCCACCACAGACTCCCTTGTCCTCATTGGCTTTGTTCTACTGGACTAGTTTCAACCAATAGCCACAGTTTACTTAAAAAATAAATAAATAAATAAAGTATTATTATATGTAATATAATATAAACATGTAAAAACAAAATCATACAACCCTTTTTTTTCTTACCAGTTGCTATAACATAATTGGCAAGTAAATCTTAACCACATTATAGTAAATCTTTCATAGAGATAGAGGGGACTCCAAGCTGTAGCTCGGGAGCTGCCAGTGCCTCTCCACCCCCTTTTAAGAAGCTCACCACGAGATTTGTGCTGAATAACAACAATTTTATTAATGACCATTGTAAAATGTAAATAATTTTGATGACTAACTTAAGCCTAAACGCTCTTATATATACTCAGTTTCTTGTGACCGCTAAAACTAGTAGCTCTCTGGCATTTTCACTTTGTAAAGGTAGCTCACCAGAGGAAAAAGGTCGGAGACAATGTGGATAAAGTATCTTGCTTGCTGACATTGCTTAAATTACAAAAAAGCTGTACTTAACTATTTTATATTCATAAAATCACTGACTATATGAATTTGAATAGCAGACTATGAAAGACGTTCTGTTGCATTATAAACCTGGTCCTGAATAATTGCACTAACTGGTGAAGTGCCCCTCCTTGACCCCAGTGCAAGTGCCGGGGCCAGGGCAATTTTACACTAATATTCACTAATTGTTCAATAGCATTACTCACATCACAATCACGGTTCATTTCTCGCTATTGTGCTATGGCTAATGACAGCTTTTGTCAATGTTCAGTTTCAGCTCCAATGATACAAAGGACTTCAGTGCAGCTCGTGGATTAACTCAATCTGTTGATGGCCAGATGTTGCACTGAGTCTGCCAGCACTGACAAGTACGCCTGCCAAAAAACTCAAACGGAGCTTTGAAGAAGGAGCAGACTAGAACTATGAGCAAAACTGGGTCATATATTACTTTAATCTCTGACAATATTGGAGCTTTACTTTCTGTTTTCATTATAGAACTGTAGTTTTTGTTGCTTTTACTACTAATTTATTACCAGTCCTATTGAGTCCTATCATCATTATATCTACAAATGACAATGTAAAGTTGAGTACACAGAAATGTATTGAAGTGCTTTTACCAGCTACTGAGTTACTAATACAATAATGAGTAGAGTCATTACTACTTCTATTCAGCTGTTATATTAGACATGTATAATATATACTGTTATACATACAAAAAGTCTGAAGTAGTAAGAGTACAAATATGCTCTACTTCACAATATAGTTTATGGTATTCCCTTATTTATGTATTAGAACTCAATCTCTTACCCTTCCTTATGGCCAGTAGGGGCGCTATTGCGTTCTGGTGCCACACAGTGATGAGCAGAGTCCAGGGTAACACGATCAACACAATGGCAAGAATATCTCTTCTCTTCGGCATCTCCAGGATTGGTGATGTGCCTCGACATTACCTGTTGGTCACACAGAGTTTAAATCACTCCATTCATCCTGTACAGTGTTCTCCTTGACAATGAGAGTTTATACTTCCTACTTTAATAATAATAATACCTTTAGGGCACATAGTTTAACAACCTAATTTGTGACTCCCTAGGAGGAGTTTGTATGATGCTTAGACGACTTTAATATAGCAAAATAATATGGTTCACTTTGTAACTGATAGTCTTAAAATTAAATAACACTACCAATATTCAGAAGACTAGAAATGGAGCCATGCATCTTTATTTAACATAAAGTGCCAACCTCACCTGCCATTGCCCATTGACCATCTGCTATGTAGGCTATATGCTTTGAGCTGAATGAGTACACAATAAATGGATGATGCTTTTGACTCTTAGGCTATATAGATACAGAACTGTGAGTGGACTTGTGGACACCCAATGGGACTTAATGGGGAAATATTGCGTTCTTCTTCGGAGAGGAGACAGGCGTGAAATGGATGTGAATTCTGACACGAGCTGAGTGCTCACGTGCGTGTGCTTAAACGTGGGTTTGCTATGGCACTGTAAAGCTTCTGTGGATTTATCAGTGAAGTGATCGTAGTTGTTTTGGACACATATGTGCAATGTTAGTGTAGGAAAACAGCACATCTGTGGGATCACAGGATCATTTCTCAGTATTCTCTTTATTTAAAGCCTCACACCACAACTCTTGCATGGCTCCGTACATTTCTGTCACCTTATTCTGAATATTCACATAAGTAACGGGAGGTGAAATTGTACAAATATCGCATTTTAAACCTTTATTGTCATGACTCAATGATTCAGAACTGTATGTTTGTGTATTATCGATAAGCATGTTAGCCTAATCAGGCTGAGAGAGACAGTAGCAAAACACTGTTAATTTGATTAACTGACCGCTTAGAAATGTAGATTGTAGAAAAATAAAATCACAAACTAAAGTGAAACCAATCATTTAGAGTGCATATGTACAACATCTGCACATTAGTTAGAGCACCTCTTTTTATGCTATTTTATCAAGATCATCATTGAAACTGTCAATATTAGTAAATGTTAAAGGCATAAGGCTTTATATAATAAAGCATGTTTTTCACAAACATCGCCACATTATCTCCACATAATTTTCAGTTTTCTCTCAAACTTTACACGGCATTTTGTATGGCTCTAGCCGCTGAACCTTCTGTGGCCCAGTAGCTATGCAACTATCACTGGTGGAACTTCATGTCGTAAAAGTAGTAAAGTACTATACTTAAGTATATTAAATTTTGGATACTTTTTACTTTTACTTCACTATATTTGAAAGTAGGTATCTCTACTTTCTACTCCACTACATTTTTGAACAGGACTTAAAAGTAAAAGTATTTTTTATTGTTGTTTTACCTTTTTTGTTTTTTTTTAACATCTTTGAGCAAACTAAAACATACAAATAAAAACAGCTAGAACAAAACGATTCAGTTGTTTCTGTTGAACAATTTTTGCACAAATCTGTAAAATTGCACTACCTTTGAAGCCTTAGGATCTCAAAATATGCACAAAAGAACTTTACTTTTTACTATTTAAGCAAATTTTTGGCCTTCGTCCCATAATACAATACATAATTACAAAACCTATGGGGATTGTGAATGTCAAAAGTTCAGAAGGACCGCTTGTTCCTCTTCTTGCATTGGTGCTAGCTGAAGTTATCCTGACCACAACCAAATGCAGTTATGCAGTATTAATTATAGTGGAAGCATGCCTTTTAAATAGAAAGGAGGATTAGGCATTAGAGTGAGGTTTACAGCCAATGGATACTGTAAAAGAACAGTACAGTGCAGTAAGTACAGTACAGTACAGAGTATTTGTTCTCTTTAGAGCAAAAATAACGGAGTTCTACTTTTTTCTACGATCAGTCTGCAGGGCTTTAATGCAGGCCAAATGAGGTAATGAATAGTAAACAAGGAAACAGAATAACTATTCATCGTATAAAACGTCATGACAGAGAGAGGTGGAGTTCAATGTATTATTAGAACCAAAAATATACAAATATGTGCCCATCTAAAATACTGCTACTGTAAAAACTGCTAATACATAACATATTTAGATGACCATGGTACCTTCTATTGTTTTGAAAATGCTATCTACACAGAAAAGAACGTATTAACACACATAATAATAAGCTTTTGGTGCTCAGACTTAAAAGGCCTGAAGGTCAGAAACTCGGATCTCAGAATGAGGTAATAAAAATAAATAACTACGAAACACTGTTGAATATGGCTGTTAGTGAATGTACTCTTAGCAATAATGTTTTTTTAATTATTACGAAGGGTTATTAGTAATATTGGCATCCTTCTTCACGCACTTATGACATAATTAGTCCGATCGGATGTTTTTAATACACTGAAACAGCGAGTAGTGCATTATAAGCTTTATAGACCATGACAGGAGGCACAGGTAATATTTCTATTTTATTCTAACCTCTAACATGAAAACGTCATACAGATTGGTCTGTCACGATAATTACAATATCGACTTATCGTTCAGTACATGAAAGATGGAACAATATATTTTGGGGCTCAATATTTATTTATTTATTTGCAATAGTGGGGAGATTTCAGCCATTTTTCATGTAATACGATAAGATTTGAGCTGTAGCACGAGGAATAAATAACTGTTATGGCTAATTATCAGTTCATTCTGCTATTTGTTGCAACTCAGTCCCCTTTTAATGACACTGTCTATTTAGAAATTGGCTTATTCGGATTATTCTGCTTTGTGTCAGTGCCATAAAGTAGTTTCAGTTTTTCAATTTATCTATGTATCAACCAGCCAGATTCCCTACCAACCAGATTCAAATGTGTCTATAGTTATTTATAAATGCTTTTCTCTAAGTTTTGATTAGCATAATAACATTCAACTGATTTTTCATAAATACTTTTTAAGAAATAAAAAACAATAAACAGTGATAAAAATGTACTTCTTAAGAGAAGAAGTGCCATCAAAATACAACATTTGCAGACCCTAGTCGAAATGGTAGCCTGATAAAAAAAAAAAAAATAAAAAAAAAACAAAGCTGGAACAGAACAGACAGATACTTTTCATTTAACAAGGGTCTGAAAGTGCTTGAAAATCTAGTTTAGTAGTTTAGCTTTAAAACTAGATTATTCGTAACATCAAAATGAGAGAAAAAAAGAGTTTGTGTGGATCAAAAAATATTGTCAAAAATGAAAAAAAAAAAATTGACAATTTGTTTATGCTTTCCTGATTCAAAATATACTAAACACCCCATAAAATGCTTCTTTATAAAAGAAAAATAGACTTATATAACTATTATAACTATAGCTTTCAATCTTATCTATGGCAAAGTTATCTTATCTATATTGTTAACTAATAAAACATACATAACTGAAGATCTTGAAGATATATACATTTAATGCCATACTTTGGAACATAAAAAAAAAAAACAATAATATCTCCAGGGAAACAAGCTGGTGGCAGACCCTCTACCAGAAAAATTACACATTTCTCCTTTAAATCTTGCACTCTTTTATCTTAATACTTTATACACTGATAAGACTAAAGTACATGTAGTTTAAATAGAGATAGTGGTTTCCTTACCCACACTTACAAAGGGATCATGGCACCAGCGCAGATGCACAGATGGAGGTCCTCACTGCAGCGGTGAGAGTGATTCTTCAGGACAGGTTTATCCAAACATCTCCTTTCCTTCTGCTCTGCCCACGGACACAGACAGACAACTCACAGTCCACACCTGCAATACAAGACACACAGATCAGACTATGGCAACTGTGTAACTTTTTGGTTGAGGGTCCTCACCTGCTTGTTTCTATGGATATGTCATTGTTCTGCCTGAAATGTTCTACAGTATGACATTAAACAGCTCTACCTTACATTTACTCTATTACAGGTGGTTTATTTCTCAAAAATACCTACAACAACAGGGATTCTGACTGTGAGCAGATCTGACCTGTAACTTGGTCTGGTTTGGTCTCCATGAAGGTAGAAAGATTTAATGCCATACTGTGAATCATTCCAGATAAATCTAGTGAAATTTCCACAACATCAACAACACGCAAGTTTTAAAAATACACTCCAGTTTTTATCATTCCATTTCCACAATAGTTAAGCCTTTGCCAAACCTTTACTGCTTTACCACTGCATTACTATTCTCCATAGCAGCAAAGAGCTCCAGGAAACAAAAATAAATGGATGATACAAAAAATACAGTAAATTATGCTCAGAACAAATATGTGAAAATCTGATGAATTTACTTTACCCAGCGAGAGAAGATGTTGGCATTAGAGTAGAAGTGTTCAAAGATGTGATTGTGTTGTCTTTTATATAGACCTGCCTAATGACTAATACTGACATCATCTGTTAGGAGAGAGCCTGGTTTTGTGCTGTTCTAAACTTATGTCAGTGCATGTCTCATTGCTATGTCAGTGTATATCTCACTGCTAGGGACATGTAGAAATCTGCCATCAAAATGCAGAACTTAGTCATTTGTATCTTATCCACTACAGCATCACACACTGGTGGCTGCAAAAAAAAAAAAAAAAAAAAAAAAGGCTTCAAGTTGACCGTCTTAATTTATATAACTTTGTTTTTATCTATAAATCAATAGAGATGATAAACTAGAGACAGAGCATGGGATCAATTGCTGAGAAATTCTGCAGATTTTCTGGCTGATATGTGGGACTGATATTTTCCCCCAAATCTCAAATTGTGTAATTTAAATTTACAATAAACTTACCCCAAACCCTGTTTTACCGCAAATCGGTAAAGCTGCTGCGCAATTATCTTTGCAATTACCTTGCAATAAAACGTTCAAATACGGCATTGTGTGTACTCTTTTGGCAGCAGGTCGACCAAACCAAAATTTGGGCCTGTGCTGGATATTTAAGGCCGATAGCCAATGCTCTAAAAAAGTGCAAGTATTATCCCGATATATTAGCCAAACGATATATCGGCCAATTGATCTATCTCTATAAGAAGTCACAGTGACCTTTTGTAGAATTCATAAAGTACGATAATTTACTACAGTAAGATGACCTTCTGTTTTAGTCAAATACATCTGATAAATGCTGTGAAGCTTGCATGTGGCTTCATCTAGATTTTGGAGTTTTGTGGCTGAAATTTGTATGCGCTGCAAATATGAATGTTTAGAGGCTGCTGAACAAAATGGCCATGTCCGGTGGGAGCGTTGCACTGTGAGCACAAAGTCTCAGCACAGACTTTGTCAGCGTGTCCTCAGCGACTGTCCAAACTCTGTGGGAACATAATACATCCCAAGCTGTTGTGTTGAAAAATAATAACGAACAAAGAAGCTGTCTGTACACGACCAAGGGAGAGTGTGGGAGAAGTACAAAGGGTTTTCTGCAACTCTGAGGACTGTTACTGCAAAATAATATTGATACTACTATTCTGTTTATTTAACTATTACTAGCCAACTATTAGACTACAGAATAATTGCTAGGACTATCAAGGGAAAGAGGCTGTAGACTGTCCCTCAAAAGTTCTACTACCATAAAACACGCTAAAATTGACTACTAAGTGTTACTATATCAACTCATCATTCAGTATATCAAAGCTGGAACAATGTATTTTTTAGTTCAATATTTATAATCTGTACATAGTTTTTATTTTGCAATAATGATTATAATATTATATATAGATATAGATGAGCTGTACAAGCTGTTCATTCTGTTATTTATTTGTTTGAGCTGTTAATGATACTAATGGTGAACTGGGATTGTCCTGCGTTATTGTTACTGTGACAGAGAAATTAAGTAGTTTAAATATTATCACTTACAGTTATACAGCAATACATCGTGTTTCAAAATGTATTATCATGTCACGCCTAGCGTATAGGTCACTACAAACTAATACAGATACTACAACGAAAAGTGTTTGAAAAAAGTGAAAGAAACACAAGTATTGACACATATTTGCAACTAGCACTACAACTATTACAACAATAAAACTGACTATTAAAGTGATTCAGCGTCCTTTTTTATTGGGGACATTTTGATGACTGTTGCCTATTTAAAAAACAATATTAAGTTTGTAAATGTCAACTGTTAAGGGAACGGTGCAAATTTTTCATTACTCTGAAACCCACGGATAACTGACTTCCAAGGGTTAGATGGTGTTCTCTGTAAATACTATTATTGTAAGATAATATTGCTCAAACAGGCTACTAAATGCTGACATATTTTATTGAAGTATGAATTGTGAAAGAGAAACAAGATGGATTCATGTTTTAGAAATAAAAAAAATGTAATACAGCCATAGAAATTGCTAAAAGGGAAATACAACTAAAGACAATAATATCAGCACTGCTACGATCCCACAATTTATTTACCTGGCCAGCCAGAACCACACAATTTGACAAAACTTTACAAAGATGAGTGGATCTGAAGCTGTATCCTGTCTCCCTCAAAGAGTGTGATTGACAGGCAGATTAACCAATCAAAGAGATGTTCTGTTTGCATCAAAAGTGATATAGTTTGTTCTGAATGTTATGAGAATTTTCAACACAGCCCTTTAGAAGACAAATATAGAAGGCAATGGCTGGTCAGGCAAATAGGTATTCTAAAAGCTGAAACAAATCTCCTTTATTGAGGACTACTAAACTAAATATTTAATAAATTAATTAAGTATGTTCAGTGATTACATGTTTATCAAAGTATAAACAACCTCTAGAAAAACACAGTGAAGACTGATGCTATTGTCATGCATAAACTAGCTTCAGACATGTTCCACTCAATTGTGTCTCCTATGCACAACCAGAAAACTCAGTACATTAGCCTTTCAAATTATTGGAGCACTGTTCAGTCACGGTGACCAAATCACATGCCAATTTGGTGAAATTAATTATGAAACTGATTATGAACTGTGAGGTCTTTGTCCTGAACGTGGTCCCACATGTAGAGTTTGTCTGTGGCACCTGAACTGTGTAATGTGGGCACAGAGAGAGAGAAAAGACGACAGGAAGCGTGGACGACAGGAGCAGACAGGAGCAGAGAGTGGAGCGAGTTAACCAGCTGTGAAGACAACACCTGCCTATGATTAATAAAGAATAACACACACAATGCAAATTAGAAAATTGTAAAAATAACTTAATTTATTTCTTAATCACCTTTTTGGTCAAAATATTTAGGTTTTAATGTAAGAAACAACTGCCCATTTCAGTACACGTAAATTTAACATGTTATGAAAGTAGATTTGACATGAAAATCAAGTTAGTTGAAAATCAGAGTAGATAGTAACTTCAACATTTTACTTTCACTTGACTAACTTTGAAACAGTGATTGTAGAAGTAGTTGTAATAATAGTTGTAGTAGATGTAACTTTAAGCAAACACTGGGAGTCTTCAACTGGGCAACAGCAATACAGGTCAGTTCAGAGGTCACCGTCGGTCACACCCTGCAGGGTTTGACTGACGCTTACTCTGTCCTGGACTGGCTTGGTGAGTGTTGCTTTGTCATGTTTGCGTATTAAACTGGCAGACGAGAAAGAGTGACATTTCTGTCCTGATTCTAAAATTTATTTTTTGCAAAGATTTTATTTGTTTTGGTAGAGATGGTAGAGCAGCCAAAAATGAAGTAAATTTAAAACACAAAACGTAGCATTAGCTAGACCTGACCAGTAGTAAGTAACTATTTCTTTAGTTAAATCCCATTGGTGACTTTTTGATCAGTATTATTGTATGCATTTAATATCATGCTCTATGACTTCACAGTTTTAACTCAAATGTACGTCTCCGTAGGTATCCATGTTGGAGGAGCTCAGTGTGCTCGACCCTGTCCGCACAAACATAGTGCACATTGTGGAGCAGTTCGAGGTCATGGGCCTGCATTGCCTGGCCTTCGAAATGCTTGAAGTAGACCTGTTTTCATAAATGTTAAACAGGAACTGTGTACCTCGCACTGAATTAGATCTGGCCTATTGCCCACCAGGTACTGAAGGATTTACTACAAATATTATATTGCAATATAAAGGCCCTGCACCAAATAATTTCAAACAGATCTAGTTCATTCAACTGTTAGTCTCACTTCTTCACTTTTTAGCGCATTTCTTGCTTCCCAATTCTTAACAATTACAGTAGTTTTTACTTTTTATTAATTCTTTTTCCCTCTTCTGTCTCTGCAGTTGTTGATGGCCTTAGATGCACTGAAAGGGCTTGGTATGCTGCACACACTGATATCAATCCAGATAATGTAAAAATCATCAACCTGGAAGACGAGCCTTTAAGGGTCAAAACAATTGACCAGGACGGCCTCCCAAGTTAAGCTGGGGCCCAGCCTCCAGCCCTATGGAACAGGTACGAGGCAGGTACTTTGACGTCCCCAGATGCTTGGATGAACTTGTCATTGTAAGTCTCCATCACTGATCAACACTCCCCCTCACTGTGTGGATCTGTATTTGAGTCTAATCAGTGTTTGTTTTGTAATGTACAGAGCCCTCCTGAAAACTCCACCGCCAAGGCAGAGGACAGGAAGTCCTTCATTGACTTCCTGAAGGGGTTGCTGAGTATGACTAGAGAGCAGAGACTGGCTCCCAAGTCAGGCCCTCCAGCATAAGTACATTACTGTGTCATCTGCAAGATGTTAAACTCCAGGGATAGTAAGTCTAAACCATACAATTATGTAAAAATCCAAGGTGAGTGTGGGTACTGACTTGTGTGTGTTTTTATGATCTCAGAGGAGTTGAAGTCCATCTGTCCGGCAGTGGATTCCTCTTCAAGGC